TACCATCCATGGTCAATTTGAGAACCGTCCAGGTGGTGCGGGTGCTGTAAGTTGTGCAGCAATTGTTGCAGAAGTTCACGGTAGTTCCCGCACATGACGGAAATATTGTCCTTGTTTTGACGCGGATTATCGGAGATTCCCAATATCCTCGAAGAGTTTCTTTCATCACAAGTCTCACGGTACCGCATTAAAATTTGATCCAAGAGGAAAACTGAGAAATATATCTCTTCTAGAAGGTTTTTATCACCAAACATTTTACACATTTCCAACAGAATCAGTAGATGTTGCTGGAAGATCGAATAAAAAGTCACTCACAAAATATGGGTTCACTCGTAAAAAAACAACAACTGATTATGTAAGCACTTTAATCCAGAGGCCCTGTCTAGGACGAGGGTGCATTAGCCGTCTATCGTACTTGCCGCGCATGCGCGGATTGGTCGAAATCTCTGGAACTCAAGCAGCTGAAGAAAAAGAAGAGATAAACAATAACAAACCAATATACCTAGGCTACGCCAGGAAATATAAATCTAAATAAATATTGATAACAAATAGTTAACTAGTTTTTATATTTATAGACCTACTTTTTAATTTGTTGTGCTCTTTCAAACATTTTTTCTTCTTCTTCTTTAAAAAACGTCTTCATTTAAATTTAATTGTGAGGTGTCAACGGGTAAATTGCTTTCTACCAGATTTTTATCGAAACCATGAGTTCAAACAAGAAAGTATCAGTAAACAGAAAAGTTCAACCAGTTTCGCGGTTTTGTCTGTCTCGCGCAAGTTGCCGCTTCGTCTGCACCGCTACGCCAGGCGCGAAAACATGTTCAGACAAGTCGTCCGAATACAGTGGTCAGCTGTTAGGTCAAGTGTGACGTAGAGGTCTATTTTTAAAACAGGCTAAGAAGCGACGGTGTTTTTGTGCAGGTGCGTGCTGCTTAGAGAGGGGGTGGGACGGCCAAATCGCATCGGTGATTTGCATTTTAAAATTTAAAAAGTATTTCGATTCGGATAATATCAAATGCGCTTATTACTAATCAGTACACATTTTAGTAGAATTTATTTTTATAGTAAAATTAAACGACAAGCTTAAGTTTTTGACAAAAATATACGATTTTTAAATTTAATCAGATGGAACGATTTCATAGAAATGAGGCAAGCATTTGAGATTAAAAAAAAGAATTAATGTTTTGCACAATTTTTAAATCACCCACCAGTTAGAGGAGTAAGAAATCTACGGGGACCCGTAGGCATTAAAAGACTGGGGGGGGGGGGGGGGGGTTCTTACCCCAGGGGCGTACGCGGGTTTTTGAGGTAGGTAAAAAGACACGTCCAGATGAGAAACATAGAAAAAGAAACTTACATGTATAAGATTGAAAGGAAGAGAGATAGATAGGGGAGGGGGGGGTGAGAAAATTGTATAGAAACAGAGAAAAATGGGTTTGAGTTGTAGAATAAGGAAAGCTTGTTAGTACAACTTTAAAGTAGATTGAGCTTGGCAACAATAATTTGTTAGACCCCCCCTCCCTCTGCCTATTAAACTAAGTATGTGACGTCATTTCTAGACGACCTTTACCTTAACGGCAGATGTGTTCAGAGAGCGTAACGGGAAGGGAAAAAAAAAACAATTTTTAACCTCCCTCCAGCAGGCTATTCTAGTAGAGGTTTCAGGTAAATGTTCGAGTCAAATTTAGGACAAATCTTGGGCTAGGGTTAGGGTAGCAACATTAGAAACAACGAGCCGACCCGCTGCGTATCATACGCCGCTATTTAGTTTTTTTTTTTCTACTTTTCAGTAATTTATAATTTGTGAATTCGACAGTACCAATGCTGCCACTGAAAATATTTGCTTAAAAACACTAAACCCCCCCCCCCCCCCCCACGTGAAAGCAGCCTCCTCTTAGTTACCTCCTCTAAGTTTAAAATCGTTTCAAACTAAATTATCTGCCCCTAATAGCCGTCACCAAACCCGTCTCTATGATTGTAAAATGTAAACAGCGTGACCACAGCTCACCAGACAATGTGGGGGTGGGGTGGGGGTGGTAGTGATAGTGATAGAGAGAAAGAGAGGGGACTGCATGGAGGCGCTTGCAGCTTGTTTTCTAACTGATCCCAGAAGAGAATTATATATATAGATAGTCACCACCTTTCGGTCCTGCATGAGATCACGTCAGCTAAGACCCAAGTTACAAGCAAACGAACGTGTGAAGTGGTGGGGTGCAGGGGTGCTAACAACTAGAACATATTTCTGGAAATGAACGCCTAGCAACGTAACACTAACTTTGCTGCAACAAGCCTTATACATGGGTGACAGGGGAGGGGGGGGGGGGAGTTAGGGGGGATACGGTGTTCAGTTGTCGTGTGTTGGCGCTCAGAAACCGAAACAAAAAATTTGGTGGAAAGAGACGCATATGCTGTGGGTTGTTTTTTTAAATAGATTTTTTTGCTTAAGCGATGAGGTTTGAGAAGGGGGGGGGGGGGGGGCGGAACGTGTCGTCTAGTCAGGAGGTCGTGGCCCATTCTAGGTTTACCTGGTCTCGTGGAATGAATCCGATGTCAAGGTGACCTCTTACAAGCAAGGATATGCTTAAGCACTTTTAAGTTTCAAGTTTTATTTGATTGTTCATTTAATTATTTTTCAAAGCGTTAATGAAACATCTAATAATGCAACATTTTAAAGTCGCAATATATTGTCACATGAGTTTGATCTACACTTACACTTAAAACAAATGAGTTGTGTAGTAGTGGGTGACATTCAGATTGTAAGATTTCTGACAGACAGACATGACAGCAACACGAGGGATCAATGTAAAAAAAAAAGTTTGCAAAAAAAATGTTCGGTTACCTTCCCCATTGGTAACCACATTAATAACATCAAATAAAAGCAGTCGGTCAGCTAACTTGTTTTAACTCTAGACCTAGAGACGGCTGGTCGAGTAGTAGAGCGCACACATGCTATCCCAAACGTCTGACGTTTGAATCCCAGCTAGGTCCAACCAGCCAGGGCACGTGATAAGACAACTCACACAATCTTTTCATATTCCCATTGCCCATACACGGCAACGTATGAACAATACACTATTGTATCACACTGATAAATCTTGCAACATGTGAACTATACATTATTATATCACACTGACAAATCTTGAAACACGTGAACTATACATTATTATATCACACTGACAAATCTTGCAATAATATATGAACTATACACTATTATATTTCGCTGACAAATCTTGCAACACGTGAACTATACACTATTATATCACACTGACAAATCTTGAAACACGTGAACTATACACTATTATATCACACTGAAAAATCTTGTAACATATGTACTATATACTATTATATCACATTGACAAATCTTGCCGTCACTGTTTTACCTTGAAAAAAAAAAACATTGACTTACAAAAAAACAGAAACGCTCAGACGTAAATCCATTACGTTCACCAGTTCTTTTAGTTTTCTTGTTACATTTTCCCAGAAATCTTAGTTTTGACAATAAGTTGTTATTCGCTTAAAAGAGGTCTAAGTACGATAGAAGTTTAGCGGTGGGGGTTTGGATGAGGTGGGTGTAGAAAAACATGTTAAGCAGAGCGTAACGAGTTTTCTGCCTGTACCAGAGTTGGGGTTATTGTTAGATTAAGATAAAGATTATAATCAGGGCTGGTGATCAGCTTAAGCTTAGAGTAATGGTACGAAAAACTGGCCAGGTATAGCATCGCACAGTGGCGTAGGCAGGGGGGTTAGGGGGGTTCATAACCCCTCCCCATAGACCCCTCGGTATATAGAAAAAGTATGAGGGGGGGTGCAAATCGAAAGTTTGAGGGGGGGATGCAAATCGAAAGTTTGAGGGGGGGGGGTGCAAATCGAAAGCAGTGTTTCTTCCAGACTTTTTTCTCCGGGGGGGGGGGGGCACTTGAAATTTTCGGGGGGGGGGGGGGGCGATAGACTTTCTTAGGGGGGTGGCGGACACTGTTAAAAGTATATATTTTCTATATAAATTATATAAATTTCATTTCGTTCGGGGGGGGGGGGGCAGTAAAAAAATTTCAGAAGAAACTCTGATCGAAAGTTTGAGGGGGATGCAAATCGAAAGTTTGTCCCCGGGTAAAAATTGGACCCCCCCCCCCCCCCCCGTTGAGACGATCCTGGCTACGCCACTGGCATCGCATAGGTTGTTTCCAGCGACCCATTGTTATTATTAAGAAATTTTATTTGCTCCATCCCTAGTTTTATGACAGGAAGTCGTTGTGTTAGGTGTTCCTCAGATGCCCTTCTGTGTTGGTCGTATTGTGTTATCTCAATAAAGACATAAAGCAAGTGTTGTCATCGGGAATACCCGCTACTACAAAACATCCACCACCTCCCTATTTTTTGCTCTGGTCCTAGATATAAGGGTAGCTTAATTTTTAGGAAATCTAACTTTTGGCACTCTTTAAAATTGAATTGTATGTGTGATTGGGATGGGGAAAATTTAAATCCTGTTTTTTTAACAATATAATTTCTGTTTACAATAGCTGGATGAGTCGACCTAGTTGGTATACCCATACTTTCTTTTCGCTTGTTAACTGCATCCCATAAACTGTTTTGTTAGAGGTGATTTACGTTATGGGCAAGGTTTTCAGAAATTCTATGTAATATGTGGTCGAGTGTCAGAGCGGCCGACTACTAACACGAAGGTTGAGTTCAGTTCACGGCCTAAAGTCTGTGGGATATCACTGAGCCCACCCAGCTTTAATGAGTACCGAACATGTGTCTGGATAAATCAGTACAGCTGTGTATAGACGTCAAATAAACTGTCCCTTCATATGCCGAGGTCAAAGAAATAAATAAACTCTACATGTCTTGTATAGACCGCCTGGTCAGTGATGGTAAAATGTAATTTAATTTAATTATATCAACTAAATGTTTTTTCACATCATCGCTTTTACATTTAAATACCTGTTTACATACCTGTTGCTATGGTGTTAGGCCCAAACAAATAAAATAACAACACAAGATTTGTCTCTTAAATATGTGTATTAAAAAAAGGCAGCTACTTCAAAATCTAAAAACAAGCATATAACGAATTTACGTTTGCGTATACAAACTGATCATATAAAAAGTTAATTTAATAAAAACATTTTTTTGTACATGCATGAAACTGACGCAGCACGTGAAGTATCATAAATAACCCTGATTGGGCGAGGGAGTTAAGTATATGTATGTCATAGAACTTCGTGTCAAAGGCTGTGTACATGTTAAGAATATCTTTGTCCAACATATAAAACTTTGGCTAAATACGGTTAAAACATGATTAGTGGTGTTTAAAAACATTTATTAAATACGACTAAAACATGATTAGTGGTGTTCAACTAGAATGTACTAAGGGACAGCTCGGTATCCTATTAGTATAAAAGAAAATCTTGATAACCTCCCCTACCACAAAAATCTTTTCCCCCCATATCGGTTTTAGTAAACATAAAAACAGACGGCTGTATTCGTTTTATCACAAAAAAATTACAAACGAACCAGAAGCTGCTTGAATACAAAAACACTTTGAAGAATATCACATAGAGAACATAGACAATATTCATGGCAGTTTTTGTCATTTTAAATGCATGCAAATTATATAGTTAAAACTTCGGCCGTGTTATAGACGCCTATGTTTAGTACATAACAAACCCTTGATTCTCATGACTCGTGTTTAGTACATAACAAACCCTTGATTCTCATGACTCTCGTGTTTAGTACATAACAAACCCTTGATTCTCGTGACTCTCGTGTTTAGTACATAACAAACCCTTGATTCTCATGACTCGTGTTTAGTACATAACAAACCCTTGATTCTCATGTCTCTCGTGTTTAGTACATAACAAACCCTTGATTCTCATGACTCTCGTGTTTAATACATAACAAACCCTTGATTCTCATGTCTCTCGTGTTTAGTACATAACAAACCCTTGATTCTCATGACTCTCGTGTTTAGTACATAACAAACCCTTGATTCTCATGACTCTCCAACTCGCGAGTGTAACGCCTGGGTGATGCTCGAACCCGCTCCGCCTGCGGGGATTCTTGCAGTCTCCTGGCCGGGGACCTCGCCTGGCGGCTCTCTGGGGAGCTGGGCTGAAATCTCGATGCTTCCGGTGAGCTCTGCGGGCTGTCGCGCCCCCCGTTTCTGGCGCCCGCCCTCTGTTTAAGGTCGACGCTCTTTCTCTTGGAGAGCTTGATCTGGTGGGAGACAACCACGGCAGCCGTCAGGGCAATGAGAGCTGCGCAGATACAGATGAGGATGATGGCTAGCAGCTTCCAGGATATGCTGTAGCTGATCTTCGTGTCTTCTAGGGCGTCGGTGCTGAACTCGGAGTAGGGCGTGGTCACGTTTTTGCACTCTGAATAAGGCCCGACCCCCGCCGAGTTTTGAGCCGCCACGCAGAGCATGTATTTCTTGTGTTCTTGGAGGTTCTCAACAACCCAGGCGCTGGCGTTAGCGGATGGGACCTCGACGATCCGCTGATTTTGAGAACCGTCCAGCAGGTTGACTGAAATCTTGAAGCCAGTGACCCCCGGTGTGAGTAGAGTTGAATCTGTCGGCAAAGTCCAGTTGACCTGGGCGCTGTTGGCGTTGACAGCCCGCAGGCCGTTGATGACTGGAATTACCCGCGGGGGTTGGTCTCGAACCTGGAATGAAACAGTGACGACGTCGCTTTTGGTGTTGGTTTGTTTATTGTAGGCGAAGATCTGGATGGAATACATGCCCAGGTTAAGTCCAGAAAACGAGGCGGAGGGTGAAGACAAAACCCCGACCATGGCTTCCTTGATGGGGTTAGAACCCGCGTCCTGTAACACGACGGTGATGACCGTGTCCTCCGGCCGGCCGTTGAGGGGGTCGGGGTTGTTCCACGTGACGGATACGCTCCTGTTGGCCACGGCGACCGTGACGTTTGTCACCGCTGCAGGGGCGGCGGCTAGGGTGGTGACGCTGGAGGGGGTGGACAGCGGCCCCGGCCACAGGGCGTTGAGTAGAGACGCCCGGATGTTGTACATCGTGTTGGGCCTCAGGTTCTGAACGTTGGCTTCTATGTGGTACGCGTAGGCTAGTCCGTCGGATACTATCGACACGCTGACGTCATTAGAAGCGGCGGCGGCGGCTCCTGGCACAGCGCCTGTTGACGCCCCCGCACAGGAAACTGCATACGCGGGGTCTCTCACAACCCCCCTCTCAGCCAGCAGGTAATCGTCCACGGTGCCAGAGAAATAAAAAGTCTGGTTTCCCACGTCTGCTGAGTTCTGGCTGCTCCACTGGACCAACATCCTGTCCGGCATCAGACCTTGTATGGGCAGTTTGGTGTCTGACGTCACCAGGATGCTACTGGACTTAGGCACCAGCCTAGAAATGACCACCAGTGGAGGGACAACCAGACTTAGCCCAATTTGTCCAAAATCGTTTCTAGCGGTACACGTGTACTCGTTTTGTATTTTAGTTTTTATCACATACATAATGTTATTTATAACCCGATGTCCTTCCATACTTAAAACATCAACGCCATTCGACGAATAAGTAACAGTAGAGTATGGCATACCGGTTGTTACACATTCCACCGAAACTTCATTTTCATAATCTTGTGAAACTACCGCCCTCACATATGGATTAGCATAATTAATGTTTAAACTTGTGTTCTCTACTCTACAACCAATCAAATTACACGCCTTGCAAATCCATAACCCGCCATGTTGACCTACATTTAAAGTATTTATAAATACCTTTGACGTCACGTACCCAGCATTCTGATCGGAAATTATAAGTAAACCGCTTCCGCCTGGAGGGGAAAGTTCAACTTTCAGAGGCGTGATCCAGGATATGTTAGGCAAGGGAGAACCCCACGCTCGGCAAGAAAGGGTCGCAGGTTGGGTGCTGTCGGCAGAGACAGGGGTCTCGATGGTCAAGTTGCTAGGCAAAAAGTTGACATCCATGTAAGCGGGGCTTGAGGTGGAGTTTCCGTCTGGGTTGTTCAGCGAACAGAAGTACCAGCTGGCGTCTTGTCTATCCACACAGGTGAAGTAAAGATCACCACTGGATAGAATCTGAATCCTTGAGATCTGGCTAGTAACATTTGGTACGTTTGTTCTCCTGTCTAAAATAATTTGACCAAGGAACTGAACACCTAGACTGGTAGACTTGTACCAGGATATTTCAAACGGTGAGGTACTGTTTCCTCTGCATCGTAATGTCGCGTTAGATAACTCAGATACAGTGAGGTTCGACGGTGCCTCTATCACGTAAGGTAAGCTAGACAGAACCAGGTACGCCGATACAGACGCCTGCCCGGCTTGGTTAGTGGCCAGACAGGTGTACTCACCAATATCAGACGTGCCGATGTCTTTTATCTCGATGGTGCCGTTCGCGTCGACGCTAATCCGCGAAGTAGGGTATTGCAGCTTGGCGCGGTTAAACAGCCATCTTTGTGACGGAACGGGAATCCCCACACTGTAACACTCTAGACTAGCGCTACCGCCTAACATCACAGTCTGGTTTACGGGCGAAATGTCAAATTTAGGGAAAGTTATAACGCGGACGATGGCGAGTTCGAAACTAGATCCGATGCTGTTTGTGGCGTAGCAAGTGTACAACCCCGCATAATTTTCGCGAATGTTCGCGATCTGCAGGGATGTTTTATTGATTAAAGAAAATCGCGAGTCCGGACTAAACGTCACCAATGTCATGTTGTCGGTAGGCCCTCGGTCTGTGATTAAAGACCTCCACACTTTGACCAAATCCATCGCTTGGATAGCGAGATCAACAAAGTATCTGAAGTACCAGGACACGGAGGCTTGCGGGTTCGAACCCACCTCGCACTTGAGCACAACCGTATCGCCTTCAATGGTGCCTTGGGTAGTCGGGGAGGCTATGAAGTACGGCAGACCTGAAATAGAAACATACGCGGATGCTTGGGCTGACCCTACCGTGTTAGCAGCAATACACGTGAACTGACCCTCGTGGGTTCGATTCGTTTTCCTGACCAGCAGCGTTCCGTTGTTTAGCAAAACTTCGTTTGAGAAACCATCACTCGTGTATTGAGAAATATTCAACGAGTCAGGGAGTGACCAGGTTATGTTAGGGTTAGGGTTACCGCTAGCTGTACAGGCTAGTCTCAGTTCACTCCCTTCCCTGACTTCCGTGTTCTGAGGCGAGACGAGAAAAAGGGGGGAGAACTGTACGTTGACAAACGCACTGGTAGTTACCTCCCCTTCTTGACTCTTCAGCCTGCAGTAGTACATTCCCCTATCGAGGCGCGTTACGTTGTTGACAGCCAGAGTGCCGTTGTCGTAAAGGGCGGCTCTGTCTAAAACTGAAGAATTTCCCGACACCGCCCGGCCATCACTGGTCAGCGACTGACCGTCGGGAAACGACCATATGACGATAGGTTTAGGGTTACCATCTCCCTTACAGTTAAGCGTCAGACGGTCTCCTTCGTTCAACGTTGCCGGGGTGGGTAGGACGATTAACGTCGGAAACAGGGGCTTCCCCTCCACACGGAGACTGACACTGACTGACGTCATACCCCGGATGTTGGACCACTCGCAGACGTACGTGCCAATGGAATCCGTGCTCACGTTGTACAGGGTCAGACTTCCGGTATCCGTGTCAACAGAGGCGGATGACGTGGGGCTAGAGAACGGAACTGGGTCAGAAGCCGCGGGACTCTGGAACCTCCAGAGGTTCTGGGCTTTAGGGTCACTGGTCACTGGACACTTGAAGGTGACGTTGTAGCTGTAATAATGGACATTGGGTTATTCTAGATGCAACAGTAAACATTAAGTATCAGACTGCACTAACTTTACAAGAAACTACGAGGTGTAAACATAAAAGCTGAAAGAAAAACCAGGAACTGACATATTTTATCGAAAATTTTGAAAACCACAATGTGTATTGTAAAAAAAAGTTTTTTTTTTGTCTACTATACGGAAGTAATGGTTCGAGTCTTAAAGGAAATCGTTTGTCCACACAACTCTGATGGGTACCTGATTCACATTAGGGAAACTTTGGGGTCAGCTTCAACTAGACTCACCTGACAGGTACAATCTGGTCAGCTGGAGGTGAAGTTATCACAGGTGGACCTAACACGCGCACAGAAACTGTCGAGGTACTTATTGGCTGTGTAAGTGTAATGTGACTCACATTACACGTGTAATTACCGGAATCAGCGTAACTCAACTTGTCGATCTAAAAAAATCAGAAATAAAAAATTAGAAATAATTAGACTTAAAATAATCCACACGAAACGCATGCCATCGTCTTACAAAAGTAAACATCACAAACCTCTACTATAGCATGAACACTTTTAAAAAATTCAATTACCTACAAGTCAATGCTAAAATATTGTATCTAATTGCCTTTCACAGATATACGAACAAAATATTGTACCTTTCACAGACATACCATCAAAATATTGTTTCCAACTAACGTTACAGGCATACCATCATAATATTGTACCCAACGACCATTCACAACCATACCATCAAAATTTTGTACCACCGATCTTTACAGAAATACCATCAAAATATTGTAACCAACTACCTTTACAGACATACTATCAAAATGTTGTACCAGCGATCTTTACAGACATACCATCAAAATGTTGTACCAGCAATATTTACAGACATACCATCAAAATATTGTACCCTTCGACCTTTACAGACTTACCATCAAAATATTGTACCCAACAACTTTCACAGACATACCATCAAAATGTTGTATCCAAAGTCCATCTCCACGGCCTTGACCCCGGCAGAAAATGCCAGACCAGTTCCGTCCTTGATCCAGGTGAAGCTGGGGGCGGGTCTGGCGTCCACCCTACAGCCCAACTCCAGCGTGTTGCTGAGGTCTGTCCTGTTATTCGACGTCAGCGTCAGGGTGGTGAGGTTGATGTAGGCAGCCCGCAGCCAGGCTGTGGTGATGATGTAGCTGGTGCCAGTGTTGGCGAGACACGAGTACTGACCCATCTGGGCTTGCTGCACCTGTCGGTAAAACAATAGGTGCTAGGGCAGTGGTTCTTAACCTTTTGGAGGTACCTAACCTTCCAGTTTCATGTGCGCATTCACTGAACCTTTCTTAATCGTCCGCAATGACAAAATCTGATCGTTAATCATACGAGTCAGGTTGTGCCTCGACCTACGCCGAACCCCGGAGACTGACTTACCGAACGCCTGGGGTTCAATCGAACCCAGGTTAAGAACCATTGTGCTAGAGGGTTCCACGGGAGATGGTAATAATACGGATATACGTGTTTCCTTATGGAGGTGGGGTTGAGGGGGATAAATGATAGCCTTAATTACCTCCCGTTTGAAACATTTTACAATGTCCCCAGGGCCTGCGCTACCTATAAGGCGAACTAGGCGGTCGCCTAGGGCGCCATCCCTAGGGGGCGCAAAATGTTTAATCGTTATTATAAAAAAAAGTACCAAATAATTAATAACTTTTATAAAGGAGAAGCGATCTATTTCGGAACCCAGGACGAACTATCAATTTTGCACCCCATTCCCAAAAATAGGTCTATGTAGGCTTCTTTTATTTATTCGCGATAGTGAGAATGCAACCCCACTTCCCTAATTTGGAAAGGTCGGGGCGCTTTTTACCAGTCACTTTGCTTTTTTAATTTGGTGTCACATAATTGATGTAGAAAACAATTAAATAAGTTCGAAATTTAAATTTCTAATTTTAATAGGGCTTGTCAGTCTCGTTTTCTCTGACTTTGAATTAGAAATATGTTCTGGTTTATTGAGTTTAGTAATGACGGGGTGTTTAAAGTATTGTCACTTGTTTGGTAAGTGTTGATGAATCGTTTAGATTTGGGAGTAACGGCGGAAGGCTGTTGCTCATATGGTTTCGTAGGTATTAAGTATCGAAGTGTTAAAATGTCATAATTTTTTATTCGGCTTTTTTTGTAGATGAAGGTAAAGTGGAATTTAATTCGTAACAGAGAAATGAGAATGCAGGTGATGAAGTATCGGTGTTCGGAAATAGAACTTTTTTTGCAATTAAGCTCTGTCGTTTGTCATCAATATTGAATAGAAGTATGTTATAATAAAGCTACCGTTTTCGGACTTTTAAACAATACTTACAGTTAGGTATTCAATAGTTAGAATATATTGTTTTTACAAGCTTTCATAGCTAATATAAAAGTTTTGTTATAATTATTACGTAATGAAATTTAGAGCAGCGTTTTATTGTGTTTTCCAAGCATGTCTTAGTTAAACTTGGTTAGTTTAGCTATTCTTGTGACAGTTGTTTCCCTTAAATAAAATTTTGGTATTTGGATTTTCAAATGGGAGGTAATTCGTTGCTTAACTTTACATTTATTCCAAAATCTTGCACCTTAGGTTGACCGCTTACATATAAATATAACTTTAAGTTATTATTTGCTATTGTAAAAATTATATAGAGCTTAAGTTATAAAAAAATAGTTTGGTAGGTTTTTTTTAGCATTATGAGGTTGAAAAACAAAAACATCAGTTGCCGTTGTAGATTGCAATACTTAATGTTAATGTTAGCAGACATACAGTCTTAGTCGTAAATTAAACATCTAATTAATTGTCTTTTCATATTTTCACCCTCTCCTTAAGGATTTAGATCTATATATAACTATTTTAGGCTGGAATCTATCATTTATAACCTTTTATTTTTCAAAACCAAAAAATCTTTACATAACCACACAATATAGACATTTTACGATTACAAATAAAGACAGTCAAGCTAAACAGGTAAGTTCCGTTTTGGAACTCACCTTGGGAGTTCTACGGAGAGCCCAACACTACAGGGACTGTGGTTTTTTTTTTAGTGTTTTTTTCCAGACTTTTCTCCCGGGAGGGGAGGGGGGAGCACTCAAAATTTCTAAAGTACAAAATAGACTCGTGGACAGCAACAATTTCAATAAAGTGTGATTACGCTGGCCAACTGGAATTGAAGGAATTAGTACAAACTTTTGAGACGAAGGAGGCAAGTAAAATTTGATTTTGATGTCTACTTATAACATGTGTGGAATTGATAATAAATTAATATGTCACTTTTAATTAATTGTTTTCTTATACACATGTTTTAGTAATTAATTTGTGTGAAAGGGGGCGTTTTAATAAGTTTTGCCTAGGGCGCGAAATAACCTGGCGCCGGCACTATAGGTCCCAGAATATATTAAACTATCAAAAGATAATCTAATACCTATTGATAACTAACGAGATGCCTCGTAGCTACTCCTATAGTTTTAATGACAAAAAATGTTTCATAAGGTCAAGTTACCTCCCCTTTAAAGCACTTTGCGGAAGTCCCAATTCAAATATGTACAACTTTATTAAAATAAGTTTCGTAAACAAAAAAACCCTCAGAAAAGCGATAACTCAACAAGCAGACGATAAAAGCAACAAAGTAAAATTGTAATCCAATTAACTACAACTTAAATGTACATATTATAATTACTGCTTCGATTACATTAAAAAAATTATTGGGGCATAAAACTTAATAGGGTATATTTAACTCGGTAACTTTATATTTATGTGTAGGCCTCTAAGGATCTTATGCCTTTAGATGTTTGGTTATCTGCCATAAAGATAACGTTATTTGTCATCAGGATAACATCAGGCAAATTGTTATCGTGAGTTATAGTTTGATAAAAAGTTAGCAGTACCGCCGTAAGGTTAAAACGACTCACCTGTGAAGTGTCCCATTAGTAAACACAACAGTACTGCCGTAATGTAACGACTCACCTGTGAAGTGTCCCGTTAGTAAACACAACAGTACTGCCGTAATGTTAAACCAACTCACCTGCTTGATGTGGAGTGTCCCATTAGTAAACACAGCAGTACCGCCGTAATGTTAAACCAACTCACCTGCTTGATGTGGAGTGTCCCATTAGTAAACATAGCAGTACCGCCGTAATGTTAAAACACCTCACCTGTGAAGTGTCCCATTACTAAACATAGCAGTACCGCCGTAATGTTAAACCAACTCACCTGCTTGATGTGGAGTGTCCCATTAGTAAACATAGCAGTACCGCCGTAATGTTAAAACACCTCACCTGTGAAGTGTCCCATTACTAAACATAGCAGAACCGCCGTAAGGTTAAACCAACTCACCTGCTTGATGTTGAGTGTCCCGTTAGTAAACACAGCAGTACCGCCGTAATGTTAAACCAACTCACCTGTGAAGTGTCCCATTAGTAAACACAGCAGTACCGCCTTAATGTTAAAACACCTCACCTGCTTGATGTTGAGTGTCCCATTACTAAACACAGCAGTACCGCCGTAATGTTAAACCAACTCACCTGTGAAGTGTCCCATTAGTAAACACAGCAGTACCGCCTTAATGTTAAAACACCTCACCTGTTTGATGTTGAGTGTCCCGTTAGTAAACACAACAGTACCGCCGTAATGTAACAACTCACCTGCTTGATGTGGAGTGTCCCATTAGTAAACACAGCAGTACCGCCGTAATGTAACAACTCACCTGCTTGATGTGGAGTGTCCCATTAGTAAACACAGCAGTACCGCCGTAATGTAACAACTCACCTGCTTGATGTGGAGTGTCCCATTAGTAAACATAGCAGTACCGCCGTAATGTTAAACCAACTCACCTGCTTGATGTGGAGCGTCCCATTACTAAACATAGCAATACCGCCGTAATGTTAAACCAACTCACCTGCTTGATGTGGAGCGTCCCATTACTAAACATAGCAATACCGCCGTAATGTTAAACCAACTCACCTGCTTGATGTGGAGCGTCCCATTACTAAACACAGCAGTACCGCCCTAATGTACCCACTCACCTGTCTGATGTGGAGTGTCCCATTGGTAAACACAACAGTACCGCCGTAATGTACCCACTCACCTGTCTGATGTGGAGTGTCCCATTAGTAAACACAGCAGTACCGCCGTAATGTACCCACTCACCTGTCTGATGTGGAGTGTCCCATTAGTAAACACAGCAGTACCGCCGTAATGTACCCACTCACCTGTCTGATGTGGAGTGTCCCATTAGTAAACACAGCAGTACCGCCGTAATGTACCCACTCACCTGTCTGATGTGGAGTGTCCCATTAGTAAACACAACAGTACCGCCGTAATGTACCCACTCACCTGCCTAATGTGGAGTGTCCCATTAGTAAACACAAGAAAGTTTTGATCGCTGCTCACGTCACCGTCCTGAAACCTCCAGCTGTAGCTCACGCCCCCCGGAGCTGACGTCTTGTTGACGCTGCACGTCCACCAGAACGGACTTCCGGTCAGAACGTACTGGTCAGTGAGGGGCGGGGAGAACTCCAGTGAGAGGACCCCAGCTGCCAGGGTCAGGGTTAGCCAGCAGACTACCGTTGCCATGGCAATGAACTCGTCAAGATACGCAGACGTCTTCAGTGAAAGTGCCGTGCCCGAAAGTCTTCAGTGACGGTCATGCTATGTAGGTCAGTGTGTCGGTCATGCTGTATAGGTCAGTGTGACGGTCATGCTGTATAGGTCAGTGTGACGGTCATGCTGTATAGGTAAGTCAGGCTTGTGATATCAGATCAGTACCCAACCATCATGGTAAAATAACGGTACGTCTAACATACAAAACACGGCTGACGACCTCACATTGTGTGACAAGTAAAGTGCATAAAATAACATTGATTTTAACTCCAGCAGCAAATCCAATGATTTGTTGTGTCCGTATGTGTTAGCAAAAGTTGTAATTTATACAGCAAGTTGCTGACACTCCATTACTATGCAGTTTTAAAATCTGAAATTAAAAAAAAAAATTACGCCGATTATCTCACAAGTTAAAAATGACTATATTAAAAAAAACATATCAACAACATATAACAATATATCTAGTCGATAAAAAATAACTTAAAAAAACTAAATGAATAAAAATAAAATAATGTGAGATGTATTCTTCGTACACGGCTAAAGTTTTAAATGTTTAAAAACTGAACTTAATAAAATTGACATGGATCTATTGTACATGATATTCAATTATTGATTTACAAACATATAATACTCAGTTTAAATTTGGTAATGATAATACAAATAATGATAAAGATATAAAAAAAAAGATTATAAGAGTATTATTGAAAATAAAGAGAATGATAAAACTATGTCTAACGACACAAATGAAATCTGTAATGAATTCCCAACTAATAATAAAAACTACAATGATGTAAAAAAACTATAAGTCTAATACTAAACAATTTCAAACAAAATAGTAAACAATAACAAAACTATTATCACAAAATCCAGCTTTAACTCACCTGATTGTCCAAAAATTACTTTTAAATCGATCTATATAGACATTGAATTGATACGTCTTTTTACTCCACTAAAACAAAATAAATACAGTTGTTCACTAAATACAGTCATGTCGTTTACTCACTATTTGCGTGTGATGTGTTGCTTTAAGCACACCACCATTGACCGCCGAGAGTACACAGACGCACGTGCATCCAGGTGTGGCGGACACGCCATTATCCGGTGTGTCGCGCACAACATCTGTTACCACTCACCGTATCCAGACCAGGGGTGGGGAATGTCACGTGACATGAGATCAATACAAGGTTTGATTTTTTTTTTTACTTACCTGGTGATCATGTTTTGAAGTTTGTAGCATCCAGATAATGCTAAGTGCAAGATATAACAGATGGCAGAAATACGTGATACAGATGGCAGAAATACGTGATACAGATGGCAGAAATACGTGATACAGATGGCAGAAATACGTGATAGAGATGGCAGAAATACGTGATAGAGATGGCAGAAATACGTGATAGAGATGGCAGAAATACGTGATAGAGATGGCAGAAATACGTGATACAGATGGCAGAAATACGTGATACAGATGGCAAAAATACGTGATACAGATGGCAGAAATACGTGAGACAGATGGCAAAAATACGTGATAGAGATGGCAGAAATACGTGATACAGATGGCAGAAATACGTGATACAGATGGCAAAAATACGTGATACAGATGGCAAAAATACGTGATACAGATGGCAAAAATAGGTGATACAGATGGCAGAAATACGTGATACAGATGGCAGAAATACGTGATACAGATGGCAAAAATACGTGATACAGATGGTAGAAATACGTGATACAGATGGCAAAAATACGTGATACAGATGGCAAAAATACGTGATACAGATGTCAGAAATACGTGATACAGATGGCAGAAATACGTGATACAGATGGTAGAAATACGTGATACAGATGGCAGAATTACGTGATACAGATGTCAGAAATACGTGATACAGATGGCAGAATTACGTGATACAGATGGTAGAATTACGTGATACAGATGGCAAGCATACGTGATACAGATGGCAGAAATACGTGATACAGATGGCAAAAATACGTGATACAGATGTCAGAAATACGTGATACAGATGGCAGAAATACGTGATACAGATGGTAGAAATACGTTATACAGATGGCAGAATTACGTGATACAGATGTCAGAAATACGTGATACAGATGGCAGAATTACGTGATACAGATGGCAAGCATACGTGATACAGATGGCAGAAATACGTGATACAGATGGCAGAAATACGTGATACAGATGGCAAGCATACGTGATACAGATGGCAAGCATACGTGATACAGATGGCAGAAATACGTGATACAGATGGCAGAAATACGTGATACAGATGGCAAGCATACGTGATACAGATGGCAGAAATACGTGATACAGATGGCAGAAATACGTGATACAGATGGCAGAAATACGTGATACAGATGGCAAAAATACGTGATACAGATGGCAAAAATACGTGATACAGATGGCAAAAATACGTGATACAGATGGCAGAAATACGTGATACAGATGGTAGAAATACGTGATACAGATGGCAGAAATACGTGATAAAGATGGCAGAAATACGTGATACAGATGGCAGAAATACGTGATAAAGATGTCAGAAATACGTGGTATTGCTGATATAGGATAAACTTGTACAAATTGTGGGTAAGTGACTAGGAATGTGAAAAACACATTCATAAGAAAACAGAATCACAGACCTAAAGTAGATGAAATAAAAGCTAAATTTAAAAATATAAACAACTTTGTTCTATGCTTCGAATTGTGTTTATAATCAAAATTTCAAACTTAAATTGATTAAAGAATGTCTATTTGGAAATATTATTTATTATCTAATATTAACATTTTTCGGGCAAACGGCCTTCGGGCAAGTGGCATTCGGGCATTTGTCGCATTCGGGCAAGTGTCCATTCGGGCATTTGTCCCATTCGGGCAAGTGTCCATTCGGGCATTTGTCCCATTCGGGCAAGTGTCCATTCGGGCATTTGTCGCATTCGGGCAAGTGTCCATTCGGGCGTTTGTCGCATTCGGGCAAGTGTCCATTCGGGCAAACGGCATTCGGGCAAGTGTCTTTCGGGAAAACGTCCGGCTCCCGTGTGTCTAGCCTGTGTTAGCTTGATTTACACTAGTTCTACTGACGTATATCGATAGTATGTGAACAGCGGTAGGCGGCGGTTGGTAATGAGAGGCGGGGGGGGGGGGGGGGTGTTGGTGAGAATGGTGGGGGTGGCTAAGGAAAGGGTATTATTGGGGGGGGGGGGGTTGGTAGGGTGAGTGAGTTTGGTAGAGGTGGGGAGGGTGGGGTTTTGCATATGCATATATATATATATATATATATATATATATATATATATATATATATATATATATATATATATATATATATATATATATGATTTACTTATTTCTTTTGAGCAGCTCTCTGCATAGACTTGAATTGTTGATCCAAATTATTGTGGGAAATAAAACCGATTGACGCTCAAAAACATAATTGTAAATGACCATTCTTTTTTCTGACTCCTGTTTCACAGCAGATGAACACTCGCGTCAATGTCCACATTGACACGAGTCACATGTCACCCTCTCTGATTATTTCTTGGATACTGACTCGCCATTCATGGAGCTCACCCTAGTGACGCCTTAGCCCAAAAGTTGCGCAGCTTTAGAGAGCGACATAACTGATGGTGGTAAGGGCCGGCTTCCGTAATATTGTACGTGTTTTTTGGACTGAAATCTGCAAGTGAAACATAATTTTGCGTGTCATTTAGGTTGACTGTTTTTTGTTTGGATTGAGTAGGCTACATTTCGTGTATAACTTAAAAAGACAAGATAATATATATTGACAAAAGCATATCAGATCTAAGAGAAAAAAAGTTATTATAGAACGACCGATTTTTAAATTTTAAAATTAGAGAAAGTTTCGGCTTTAATGATTTAAAAAATTAAATAAACAGAAGAAATGTGTTATGAAAATACTACTTTTAAGCTTGTACTGTTTAAAAAAATATATATAAATTCAACCAATCAAAATAAATGTTCGGGAATTCCCACGAACTCTTTGTATACGCACGACTAAACACGATTGTGGAACACAATGACGTCGTTACTTTACGGGCTGAGACACACATAACAAAGGGGTCGTAAAGTTCCATCCATTTTTTTTCTCTCTGTACGACGTTTCAAATTTGAAAATGTCGACCCGTTTCGCCACGTACCTGACCCCTGAGAAGGAGGAGGAGCTGGCGGATATCGCTCGGAGAATTACCGCCCCTGGTAAAGGGATTCTAGCAGCCGACGAGTCCATCAGCACCTGCGGGAAACGTCTGCAAGAGATTAATGTGGAAAACTCAGGTGGGTAATGCTGAATCACTGGTGGGTTTTTCTTATTACAGGTGGGTAATGCTGAATTAATGTGACAATACAGGTGGGTTTTTTTTTAATTACTGGTGGTTTATGTGACAAAACAGGTGGGTAATGCTGAATGACTGGTGGTTTAAGGTTATTCTGAAAGTATGTACATAGATCTAGTAAAGGGAATAAGTGGTTGAACTTAAGCTGCTAGAAGTCAGCACATCAGATGTTCCGAGAGATGCTATAAGTGCCAGACAATCATTCCAACTACTACAAACGTTAAGTGTTACAACAGTGTCGGAGAATGCTACTATAATGTAAAGTAATCTTAAATAATGTTAACCCTATCTCTACCCTAACCCAAACTCTAAGCCAAATTCCTACCACAGCCCTAACCCTGATTTCTGACCATAATATTAAACCTGAAAGTACAAAACAACTAACAACCGAACCTATCTATTTTTAGAAGTCTATTGCCTATATTGGTAATACCGAAACTCTAATAATGGACTATACTCCAGAATGACACATTTCATAACGAAGGGTCTAGAGTCTAGATTTATAACGGAGTGAAAAAAATACAAAACCAATGCTTTTATAAGATTATCAGTAAGGGTCATGCATAAAGATATCAATAAAAGTCTCATAAGTCCTGCTAGCAGCTAGATATTCTTTAGATTAGTTAGGTTTCAGTTGTGATTTTATATTCAGTCTACCCGGGGTATATCACCATAAAAACTATCCATGTTAGCCGGTTGTTTTCTGAGACTTGACTTCTATAATAAATTTAAAAAGGAATAAAAATGGACAAGAATCTTTTTAAACCAAAGCATGTAAATTATATCAAGTGAACTTTGCATTCGTAAGTGAAAATGAAAATAAAATATACGTATTTTATGGCTTCAAGGAAATAGCAATGATAATGGCGTTTTTACAAAAAAAGATTTTTTTGAGTGGTCGCCTATTAAGATTGTCTCAGGTGATCTAAAATTAGGGTACGTAACGTCAGAGTCAAGTTGTGTTGACGTCATCATTTAGGTTAGGGTGGATTAGGGTGGAGAGAGACAACGAAATAGCAATACTTTCAGCAACATGTTAACTTGAATGAAAACACAACTTTAAAAACACTTTCTATAAGTATATATAACTGAAACTGTGTTTCAAAATTAACGTATGAAATATTAGATCTTTCTTAATTAGCAAGACCTCAAATACTTATAACTTATGACCCCTCTTCGGGGTCACTCCCACTCCCCCCCTCCCCCCCTCCCCAAATAACGTGTACCGCCCCCCCCCATCCTCCAAAAGAAATAGACTTAATATAGAAAATATATACTTTTACCAGTTGCTTATGACAACTGATTTTCCAATTGATAACAGCAGACTGACTTACCTTGATAAAAATCTTGCGAGTGAAAAGTTGTAACGAACTTTCGGCATTGTAAATACAGATATTAGTGATTGGTTGACTTGAACATTGATATGAATAAAAAGCCATGGTTCCCTAGTGAAAGGTGAAAAAAAATTGGGGTCCATGCACTGTTAAATTGAGAACCCTCTACTAATATAGAAGACAGCAGTCCCCTTCATTGATCGCCCAACCACCAGTATAGCGCTACTGTGAGCTACGTCAGGGGACGGTGTTTGTTTTATAATAGAGTAATCTGCATCGATCATAGCAGGGTTACTCCGTGCTTTCTTATGGCAATTTGACTCACGTGACATGCTGCTATTTTTAGAAGCGTACAGTACAATGTTAAGCTATAGATCAAGTTCCAACTTGGTTCTTTTTATAATTCATTTCTTACATGCCAAGATTGGGCGTCGGGTGGGTGGAGGGAGGTGTTTGCGGTCTTGCGACGATTTAGTTAGTCCAGGTTTATTAAAATACCTATTTTAAAACGATAAATAAATAATATGTGTTCAGGTGTAAGTTTTGCTACAGTTAAATGTTCTAACCCCAATCAGGGTTTCTTTCAAATATTTTTTTTCTCCGTGGTGCACTTCAAACTTCCGAGATGAGCATGAACATTTCCGGGGGGTTGGGGTAGAGCTGAAACTAGTTTTTTAAGTATACATTTTTCTATTCACCCCCACCCCGGAGAAACCATCAGAAATTCTTAACCCAAGCTTAGATATAGCCCCGACTTCCACACTAAAACTCTACCCTTAATCAAGGTCCTGATTAAAGTAACCCCTGACTCTAACAACGGCATGACACTAATGCCTTGTCGTCATTTTTATAAGAAACAAAATTTGTGGCGTAAGTTTATACTACTACAGTCAACATACAGCATGGCCGACCATTTTAGCTAGAGCCTGCACCAGTTTAGCTAGAGTCTGCACCATTTTAGCTAGAGCCTGCACCAGTTTAGCTAGAGCCTGCACCATTTTAGCTAGAGCCTGCACCATTTTAGCTAGAGCCTGCACCACTTTAGAGCCTGCACCATTTTAGCAAGAGCCTGCACCATTTTAGCTAGAGCCTGCACCACTTTAGCTAGAGCTTGCACCATTTTAGCTAGAGCCTGCACCATTTTAGCTAGAGCCTGCACCATTTTAGCTAGAGCCTGCACCACTTTAGAGCCTGCACCATTTTAGCAAGAGCCTGCACCATTTTAGCTAGAGCCTGCACCACTTTAGCTAGAGCTTGCACCATTTTAGCTAGAGCCTGCACCACTTTAGCTAGAGCCTGCACCATTTTAGCTAGAGCCTGCACCACTTTAGCTAGAGCCTGCACCATTTTAGCTAGAGCCTGCACCACTTTAGCTAGAGCCTGCACCATTTTAGCTAGAGCCTGCACCATTTTAGCTAGAGCCTGCACCACTTTAGCTAGAGCCTGCACCATTTTAGCTAGAGCCTGCACCACTTTAGCTAGAGCCTGCACCACTTTAGAGCCTGCACCATTTTAGCTAGAGCCTGCACCATTTTAGCTAGAGCCTGCACCACTTTAGCTAGAGCCTGCACCATTTTAGCTAGAGCCTGCACCACTTTAGCTAGAGCCTGCACCATTTTAGCTAGAGCCTATACCACTTTAGCTAGAGCCTGCACCACTTTAGCTAGAGCCTGCACCACTTTAGCTAGAACCTGCACCACTTTAGCTAGAGCCTGCACCACTTTAGCTAGAGCCTGCACCACTTTAGCTAGAGCCTGCACCACTTTAGCTAGAGCCTGCACCACTTTAGCTAGAGCCTGCACCATTTTAGCTAGAGCCTGCACCATTTTAGCTAGAGCCTGCACCACTTTAGCTAGAGCCTGCACCATTTTAGCTAGAGCCTGCACCACTTTAGCCTGCACCATTTTAGCTAGAGCCTGCAACATTTTAGCAAGAGCCTGCACCATTTTAGCAAGAGCCTGCACCATTTTAGCTAGAGCCTGCACCACTTTAGAGCCTGCACCATTTTAGAGCCTGCACCATTTTAGCTAGAGCCTGCACCATTTTAGCTAGAGCCTGCACCATTTTAGCTAGAGCCTGCACCACTTTAGCTAGAGCCTGCACCACTTTAGCTAGAGCCTGCACCATTTTAGCTAGAGCCTGCACCATTTTAGCTAGAGCCTGCACCATTTTAGCTAGAGCCTGCACCACTTTAGAGCCTGCACCATTTTAGAGCCTGCACCATTTTAGCTAGAGCCTGCACCATTTTAGCTAGAGCCTGCACCATTTTAGCAAGAGCCTGCACCATTTTAGCTAGAGCCTGCACCATTTTAGCTAGAGCCTGCACCACTTTAGAGCCTGCACCATTTTAGCTAGAGCCTGCACCATTTTAGCTAGAGCCTGCACCACTTTAGAGCCTGCACCATTTTAGCTAGAGCCTGCACCATTTTAGCAAGAGCCTGCACCATTTTAGCAAGAGCCTGCACCATTTTAGCAAGAGCCTGCACCATTTTAGCTAGAGCCTGCACCACTTAAGAGCCTGCACCATTTTAGCAAGAGCCTGCACCATTTTAGCAAGAGCCTGCACCATTTTAGCTAGAGCCTGAACCACTTTAGAGCCTGCACCATTTTAGCAAGAGCCTGCACCATTTTAGCTAGAGCCTGCACCATTTTAGCTAGAGCCTGCACCACTTTAGAGCCTGCACCATTTTAACTAGAGCCTGCACCATTTTAGCTAGAGCCTGCACCACTTTAGAGGTGCAGCATTTTAGCTAGAGCCTGCACCACTTTAGAGCCTGCACCATTTTAGCTAGAGCCTGCACCATTTTAGCTAGAGCCTGCACCATTTTAGCTAGAGCCTGCACCATTTTAGCTAGAGCCTGCACCATTTTAGCTAGAGCCTGCACCACTTTAGCCTGCACCATTTTAGCAAGAGCCTGCACCACTTTAGAGCCTGCACCACTTTAGAGCCTGCACCATTTTAGCTAGAGCCTGCACCACTTTAGCTAGAGCCTGCACCACTTTAGAGCCTGCACCATTTTAGCTAGAGCCTGCACCATTTTAGCTAGAGCCTGCACCACTTTAGAGCCTGCACCACTTTAGCTAGAGCCTGCACCACTTTAGCTAGAGCCTGCACCATTTTAGCTAGAGCCTGCACCACTTTAGAGCCTGCACCACTTTAGCTAGAGCCTGCACCACTTTAGCTAGAGCCTGCACCATTTTAGCTAGAGCCTGCACCATTTTAGCTAGAGCCTGCACCATTTTAGCTAGAGCCTGCACCACTTTAGAGCCTGCACCATTTTAGCTAGAGCCTGCACCATTTTAGCTAGAGCCTGCACCATTTTAGCTAGAGCCTGCACCATTTTAGCTAGAGCCTGCACCACTTTAGAGCCTGCACCATTTTAGCTAGAGCCTGCACCATTTTAGCTAGAGCCTGCATTACTTTAGCCTGCACCATTTTAGCTAGAGCCTGCACCATTTTAGCTAGAGCCTGCACCATTTTAGCTAGAGCCTGCACCATTTTAGCAAGAGCCTGCACCATTTTAGCTAGAGCCTGCACCATTTTAGCTAGAGCCTGCACCACTTAAGAGCCTGCACCATTTTAGCAAGAGCCTGCACCATTTTAGCTAGAGCCTGCACCACTTTAGCTAGAACCTGCACCACTTTAGCTAGAGCCTGCACCACTTTAGCTAGAGTTTGCGCCATTTTAGCTAGAGCCTGCACCACTTTAGCTAGAGCCTGCACCACTTAAGAGCCTGCACCATTTTAGCTAGAGCCTGCACCATTTTAGCTAGAGCCTGCACCACTTTAGCTAGAGCCTGCACCATTTTAGCTAGAGCCTGCACCATTTTAGCTAGAGCCTGCACCATTTTAGCTAGAGCCTGCACCACTTTAGCTAGAGCCTGCACCACTTAAGAGCCTGCAACATTTTAGCTAGAGCCTGCACCATTTTAGCTAGAGCCTGCACCACTTTAGAGCCTGCACCATTTTAGCTAGAGCCTGAAACCATTTTAGCTAGAGCCTGCACCATTTTAGCTAGAGCCTGCACCATTTTAGCTAGAGCCTGCACCACTTTAGAGCCTGCACCATTTTAGCTAGAGCCTGCACCATTTTAGCTAGAGCCTGCATTACTTTAGCCTGCACCATTTTAGCTAGAGCCTGCACCATTTTAGCTAGAGCCTGCACCATTTTAGCTAGAGCCTGCACCATTTTAGCAAGAGCCTGCACCATTTTAGCTAGAGTCTGCACCATTTTAGCTAGAGCCTGCACCACTTAAGAGCCTGCACCATTTTAGCAAGAGCCTGCACCATTTTAGCTAGAGCCTGCACCACTTTAGCTAGAACCTGCACCACTTTAGCTAGAGCCTGCACCACTTTAGCTAGAGTTTGCGCCATTTTAGCTAGAGCCTGCACCACTTTAGCTAGAGCCTGCACCACTTAAGAGCCTGCACCATTTTAGCTAGAGCCTGCACCATTTTAGCTAGAGCCTGCACCACTTTAGCTAGAGCCTGCACCATTTTAGCTAGAGCCTGCACCATTTTAGCTAGAGCCTGCACCATTTTAGCTAGAGCCTGCACCACTTTAGCTAGAGCCTGCACCACTTAAGAGCCTGCAACATTTTAGCTAGAGCCTGCACCACTTTAGCTAGAGCCTGCACCTCTTAATCTAGAGCCTGCATCATTTTAGAGCCTGCACCTCTTTAGCTATAGCCTGCACCATTTTAGCTAGAGCCTGCACCACTTTAGCCTGCACCATATTTACTTCCAGAGGAGAACAGACGGCGCTATCGTGAGCTGCTGTTCAGCACCGATGACATCATCGCCGAGAGCGTCTCAGGTGTGATTCTGTTTGATGAGACCGCCAGGCAGTCCGACAGTCACGGCACACCTTTCATCCAGGTGCTGGAGAGGAAGGGAATTATTCCTGGCATCAAGGTAAGTTGGTGGAACAGTCAAGGCACACCTTTCATCCAGGTGCTGGAGAGGAAGGAAATCATTTCTGGCATCAAGGTAAGTTGGTGGAACAGTCAAGGCACACCTTTCATCCAGGTGCTGGAGAGGAAGGGATCAAGGTAAACAGTCACTGCTCGAAACTGATGGCCGCTAATCTCAAAGCTTTGTAAGACAAAAGACATATGCGATCGTTACAGGATCGTATATTAAAGAACGTAGATTTAGACTTGGATGTATTGATTGTTATTGGGCGAGTTTCGTAATTCATGTTCCTAATAGTATATACAGATATGTTTTGACAAACAGATAAGGTGCGTGGTCCATGTGTTTTGACAGGTAGATAAGGGCGTGGTCCCACTGGCCGGCACCCACAACGAATGCACCACCACAGGTCTCGACGGGCTGAAGGAGAGGTGCGAGGAATACAAGGCTATGGGGATCCACTTCGCCAAGTGGAGATGTGTGCTCAAGATCACCAAATACACCCCGTCATACCAGGTAGGGCTCAAGATCACCAAATACACCCCGTCATACCAGGTAGGGCTCAAGATCACCAAATACACCCCGTCATACCAGGTAGGGCTCAAGATCATCAAATACACCCCGTCATACCAGGTAGGGCTCAAGATCACCAAATACACCCCGTCATACCAGGTAGGGCTCAAGATCACCAAATACACCCCGTCATACCAGGTAGGGCTCAAGATCACCAAATACACCCCGCCATACCAGGTAGGGCTCAAGATCACCAAATACACCCCGTCATACCAGGTAGGGCTCAAGATCACCAAATACACCCCGTCATACCATGTAGGGCTTGGATGGTGAGAACTTGGTACATGATGCGATTACCGTTAAAAAAAGAGATCTAAAACGAATTGTCATTCCAAGGCCAGTCCAAACTATGAATCCTCGTTGGTTCTGGCACAAGCTGAATAAAAGAATAAGTTCAAAGATAACTAGCGTTTGGTTGTCAATTTGTCCCATAGTTCCTAAATCCGCCAATGTCTATCGAATTAGGAAACTGCTCTGTAATTAAGAGTAATCTTATAATGTTTGATTATATTCTTACTCTGGCTTATGCACGACTTGACGACATTTACACCTTACAAATGGCACTGAATTCTACGTTCCTATCTCTTTGCCAAGCACTTCGTTATTTCATTGAAGAAATGTAGATATTAACATTAAATTATCACATTTTAATTAGTAATTTTGATCTTCTTTTTCGTTCTTAATTGTATAATATTGAAGGGGATTTCCTTCAACACAGTGTTGGTATTACGTGTCGACATATTAAGTACATTGACTTCTGCCTGCTTTTCTTCCTGGATCTACTTCTGTAACCTATGTCCATCCAAGAACAATCTGCAAGGCAGCATTTGTTTGATTCTGGGGTTTTCTCTCCTCGACGGGTTTCTGTCTACCAGTTAGTAACTTTTATGTGTGAGTTTGACTCTCAACCCGACCAGGTTCGTGTAGTTTCATCTGATATCATAATCTTGTTTTTAGGCAATGCTCGAGAACGCCAATGTTTTGGCCAGGTACGCCAGTATTTGCCAACAGGCCGGTTTGGTTCCTATTGTTGAACCGGAAGTGTTGCCTGACGGAGATCATGATTTGAACATGGCAAGAAGAGTAAGTAACGCCCCCTACCTAGCTGTCTCGTTCATGTTGACGTCACCTACCTAGCTGTCTCGTTCATGTATGTTTTTTGTTTTGTTTATTGTTTCATCACTATTCTTGTATTGGTGCAGATATTAATAGTATATTGTGTATATATATATATATATATATATATATATATATATATATATATATATAGCCACATACTTCTATAAACACGTAGATATTGTGCCTTAGAAACCAGCAAATTGTCTTTTAACTTTACCAGGTGACTGAAGAGGTTTTAGCCTTTCAGTACAAAGCTCTTGCTGACCATCATGTCTTCCTTGAAGGAACCCTTCTGAAACCCAACATGGTGACCCCGGGTCAAGGCTACCCCGGCAAGTGTAGGTGAGTAGTTTTCAACCAGAGTTCCTCACTAAAACTTCTATAATACACTGCTATACATTCTATTTTTTTAAATCTTGCACGTTTAGAAACATGTAATTTTAAACCGAATTCAATGTGATTAAATTATGTGTTAACAAATGTATGAACTCGAAGCTGCCAACTAGAACAGCGGTTCTTAAACTTTTAGGAGGTACCGAACCCCACCAGTTTCATATTCGCATTCACCGAACCCACTTATTAGTACTGTCGTCAGCAATGACTAAGTCCGATCGTGGATCCTATGAGTGGGGATGTATGTTCACCTCCTCCAAACCCCTGAGACTAACTGACCGAACCCCTGGGGTTTGATCGAAACCAGGTTAAGAATCACGGAACTAGAAAGTATTTAAGTCATCCTTGGGGTTCACCTAGCCATGAGAATTATCTGACCGTTACGGCAAACAACGATGTTGTGTTCACCTTTATGTTGTCTAACCTTGTGACGGTGTTGTGTTCACCTATTGTGTTGTCTAACCTTGTGTTGTGTTCACCTTTGTGTTGTCTAACCTTGTGTTGTGTTCACCTATTGTGTTGTCTAACCTTGTGTTGTGTTCACCTTTGTGTTGTCTAACCTTGTGTTGTGTTCACCTATTGTGCTGTCTAACCTTGTGTTGTGTTCACATATTGTGTTGTCTAACCTTGTGTTGTGTTCACCTTTATGTTGTCTAACCTTGTGTTGTGTTCACCTTTATGTTGTCTAACCTTGTGTTGTGTTCACCTTTATGTTGTCTAACCTTGTGTTGTGTTCACCTTTATGTTGTCTAACCTTGTGTTGTGTTCACCTTTATGTTGTCTAACCTTGTGTTGTGTTCAACTTTATGTTGTCTAACCTTGTGTTGTGTTCACCTATTGTGTTGTCTAACCTTGTGTTGTGTTCACCTATTGTGCTGTCTAACCTTGTGTTGTGTTCACCTATTGTGTTGTCTAACCTTGTGTTGTGTTCACCTTTATGTTGTCTAACCTTGTGTTGTGTTCACCTATTGTGTTGTCTAACCTTGTGTTGTGTTCACCTTTATGTTGTCTAACCTTGTGTTGTGTTCACCTTTATGTTGTCTAACCTTGTGTTGTGTTCACCTTTATGTTGTCTAACCTTGTGTTGTGTTCACCTTTATGTTGTCTAACCTTGTGTTGTGTTCACCTATTGTGTTGTCTAACCTTGTGTTGTGTTCACCTTTATGTTGTCTAACCTTGTGTTGTGTTCACCTTTTATGTTGTCTAACCTTGTGTTGTGTTCACCTTTATGTTGTCTAACCTTGTGTTGTGTTCACCTTTATGTTGTCTAACCTTGTGTTGTGTTCACCTATTGTGTTGTCTAACCTTGTGTTGTGTTCACCTATTGTGTTGTCTAACCTTGTGTTGTGTTCACCTTTATGTTGTCTAACCTTGTGTTGTGTTCACCTTTATGTTGTCTAACCTTGTGTTGTGTTCACCTTTATGTTGTCTAACCTTGTGTTGTGTTCACCTTTATGTTGTCTAACCTTGTGTTGTGTTCACCTTTATGTTGTCTAACCTTGTGTTGTGTTCAACTTTATGTTGTCTAACCTTGTGTTGTGTTCACCTATTGTGTTGTCTAACCTTGTGTTGTGTTCACCTATTGTGTTGTCTAACCTTGTGTTGTGTTCACCTATTGTGTTGTCTAACCTTGTGTTGTGTTCACCTTTATGTTGTCTAACCTTGTGTTGTGTTCACCTTTATGTTGTCTAACCTTGTGTTGTGTTCACCTTTATGTTGTCTAACCTTGTGTTGTGTTCACCTTTATGTTGTCTAACCTTGTGTTGTGTTCACCTTTATGTTGTCTAACCTTGTGTTGTGTTCACCTATTGTGTTGTCTAACCTTGTGTTGTGTTCACCTTTATGTTGTCTAACCTTGTGTTGTGTTCACCTTTATGTTGTCTAACCTTGTGTTGTGTTCACCTTTATGTTGTCTAACCTTGTGTTGTGTTCACCTTTATGTTGTCTAACCTTGTGTTGTGTTCACCTATTGTGTTGTCTAACCTTGTGTTGTGTTCACCTTTATGTTGTCTAACCTTGTGTTGTGTTCACCTTTATGTTGTCTAACCTTGTGTTGTGTTCACCTTTATGTTGTCTAACCTTGTGTTGTGTTCACCTTTATGTTGTCTAACCTTGTGTTGTGTTCACCAATTGTGTTGTCTAACCTTGTGTTGTGTTCACCTATTGTGTTGTCTAACCTTGTGTTGTGTTCACCTATTGTGTTGTCTAACCTTGTGTTGTGTTCACCTATTGTGTTGTCTAACCTTGTGTTGTGTTCACCTTTATGTTGTCTAACCTTGTGTTGTGTTCACCTTTATGTTGTCTAACCTTGTGTTGTGTTCACCTTTATGTTGTCTAACCTTGTGTTGTGTTCAACTTTATGTTGTCTAACCTTGTGTTGTGTTCAACTTTATGTTGTCTAACCTTGTGTTGTGTTCAACTTTATGTTGTCTAACCTTGTGTTGTGTTCACCTATTGTGTTGTCTAACCTTGTGTTGTGTTCACCTTTATGTTGTCTAACCTTGTGTTGTGTTCACCTATTGTGTTGTCTAACCTTGTGTTGTGTTCACCTTTGTGTTGTCTAACCTTGTGATGTGTTCACCTTTATGTTGTCTAACCTTGTGTTGTGTTCACCTTTATGTTGTCTAACCTTGTGTTGTGTTCACCTATTGTGTTGTCTAACCTTGTGTTGTGTTCACCTTTGTGTTGTCTAACCTTGTGATGTGTTCAACTTTATGTTGTCTAACCTTGTGTTGTGTTCACCTTTATGTTGTCTAACCTTGTGTTGTGTTCACCTTTATGTTGTCTAACCTTGTGATGTGTTCAACTTTATGTTGTCTAACCTTGTGTTGTGTTCACCTTTATGTTGTCTAACCTTGTGTTGTGTTCACCTTTGTGTTGTCTAACCTTGTGTTGTGTTCACCTTTATGTTGTCTAACCTTGTGTTGTGTTCACCTGTTGTGTTGTCTAACCTTGTGTTGTGTTCACCTATTGTGTTGTCTAACCTTGTGTTGTGTTCACCTATTGTGTTGTCTAACCTTGTGTTGTGTTCACCTATTGTGTTGTCTAACCTTGTGTTGTGTTCACCTATTATGTTGTCTAACCTTGTGACGGTGTTGTGTTCAACTTTATGTTGTCTAACCTTGTGTTGTGTTCACCTTTATGTTGTCTAACCCTGTGTTGTGTTCACCTGTTGTGTTGTCTAACCTTGTGTTGTGTTCACCTATTGTGTTGTCTAACCTTGTGTTGTGTTCACCTATTGTGTTGTCTAACCTTGTGTTGTGTTCACCTATTGTGTTGTCTAACCTTGTGTTGTGTTCACCTATTATGTTGTCTAACCTTGTGACGGTGTTGTGTTCAACTTTATGTTGTCTAACCTTGTGTTGTGTTCACCTATTGTGTTGTCTAACCTTGTGTTGTGTTAACCTATTATGTTGTCTAACCTTGTGTTGTGTTCCAGCGTGGAGGAGACGGCATTCGCCACCGTCCAGGCCTTGTACCGCACAGTGCCAGCCGCCGTTGGTGGAATCGTTTTCTTGTCTGGAGGCCAGGGGGAGGAATCTGCCACCATCAACCTCAACGCCATCAACAGGGTAATCACGCTGCATGCTGGCTGAGGGGGGGGAGAGGGGAGGTCTTCTCTCTTCTACAGGGGATATACTTAATGCCGGACAACACAATACACTCGACAATGGTGATAATGAATCATAATGATAAAATTTTATACAGAAAGATACGAAATGCAAAATACGATTCTCCAATACCTATCAACTCAGCATACTCGTGCACACCATGTCCTCTCGTCTTCAAACTGCCACAAACACACACACTCTGCCACTCTTCTTTGTACGTGAACACCTCTCATCCCAAAACACAACTCACAACCAAGGGCTTTAACTATGTACCAAGACGGTACCAGTCATTCAATACACAACACACAACCAAGGGCTTCAACTATGTACAAAGACGGGTACCTTTTATTCAATACCCAACACGCACACACACAGGGAGGGTATCTGACAACACTGGCTACTAAGTATTGCCCAGTTAAACATTTATTTTCTACTTCAAGCCCACTACTTTGTTGTCTATTTATAAGTAAAATTATTTATTGCATTGATGATAAATACCTTCCATATTATTACATGTTGAAAAAATAAAGATTCATTACTTGATTCTATTTTTAGGTGTCACTACGACGACCTTGGCCCCTGACCTTTTCCTACGGTCGAGCCCTACAAGCCAGTGTCTTGTCGGCTTGGGGAGGGAAAGATGAGAACATCAAGGCCGCACAGAATGAGCTGCTCAAGAGGGCAAAGGTCAGTTGCTCTACTCACACACAATTCTCTTCTGTAAAATAAAAAGCTGTCCCTCTGTACCTTGTAGACGGAATTAAATATGAGAAACATCAGCACATGAATGTTATCAAGCTTGGTCCTTCCATTTTTCTTCACTTTACTTTCGTCTGCACTAATCTAACCTTTTCACCATTTCCTATGTTTTTCTCATGTAACCCTCTCACTCATCTAACCGTTTAACCATTTCCTTTTGTAACCCTCTCTCTCACCTAACCGTTTAACCATTTCCTCTTGTAACCATCTCACTCACCTAACCATTTAACCATTTTATCTGGTAACTCTCTCTCTCTCTCTCACCTAACCGTTTAACCACCCTTCACCAGGCCAACGGTTTGGCGTCTCTAGGAGAGTACAAGGGAGGCATAGAGGGATTGGCAGGAGAAAAATCTCTCTTTGTCAAAGACCACGCCTACTAATGACGCCCCAGCGAATAAAAATCTCACAGTAACCACGCCTACTAATGCTGCAACTCTCCCGCTAGATCAACCAGATATCTTTTAAAGACCACGCCTACCAAAGAAGCCCCAGCCAGATCAACCCAAAATTCACAAAGACCACGCCTACAACTGACTCAACAATTTGGTGGATTAGTTACAAAATCTCTGTCACAGACCAAATCTTTTAATGACGCACATTGTAACTCCCAGCCCATCAATCATCACAAATGGGCGGCTTCCATCAATTCCTCACGTTTTGTCTCGCTAACATCAGATTTTTCCATAAGTGTGACACTCTGTCACGCCAAGTCATAAGTGTGACACTCTGTCACGCCCACTAAGCCATAATTGTGACACTCTGTCACGCCCACTAAGTCACGCTGGTGGAGCTGGCTCAAGCCAGCATGACGACACATATTTTACAAGATCCTCCCCCTCGTCACATTACGTCACAGTGTGTCACAGCGTATGTCACACTGCCACATGCTGTCACAGACTACCTTACCGTCACATGCCATCCCAGTCACACTTGTCGCATAATGTCACAGTCCGTCACAGACTGTCACACTCTGTCACACCCTACACACCCCAATGCGTGAGATGATTTTGTAAGCCGCCTTAACAGCTATGTTGTCTAAAGCAGTATCAACACCTTCATGTACCTTTCCCCTATCAACCTTAGCTCAAGTCCACCTTACTGGAGCTTATGTCGTATGCCACACAACCTCAAGTAGACAACCCGTTTTGGTCAGTTTTTAAGTAGAATAAAACATGGTCGAGCTGTTTTCTGTAACACGTATCAGGTCTTTTCCATCTTACAATATTGGAATCATTATCTGATACTTGTCACACATTGACGCTTGCGATCATGTGTATATCAAAGACTTACGGGTTTAATTGTTTGGCTTTCGGGCCGAACTGCTGAATCTGGGCATATTCGTCAGGAACTTGATAAAAATGTATCCCTCCAGCCAAAAACAGGATATTAAACACATTACAAAATGACACGGTGTTTCTAATTTTTGTTTTATATGCTGGTGTCTAAAAGAATGGTGTCAGTGTAGGGCAGGGTGTTGTTGTGTGGTGTCGTTTGTCACATAATATTTTGAAAGCATGACCAAACTATAGCCCAGATAATGGTGCAACTATTTTTTTTAGACGCGAGATCGTGTTAATGGTAAAGATATTGAGGCGGTTTTTTTAATAGTTTATTTTCTTCAAGAAAAAGCATTTAGAACTAGAATCTAATAACATTAAATATCTGACCAAAAAAAAAGAATGCTTTTAAAATAAAAAAAAATAATTATAGGGTCATAGAGTCCAGCTTTACTTGTTAAGTTTGAGTGGTGTAGAATTCCAGCCATCTGTAGAAATTACCTGGGGAACAATGACCATCATATGTCAGTCGTTGACTTGACATTTCTGAACTGTATCTACATCACTGTAACCGGCTGTTGTTGTGGATAATAATTTGATAAGATCATCATTTCAACATCTTTCATCTTTCCTTTAAACTTTATTTAGAGTGTACACCATACATACATCTTCATGTTCAATTAAAGCTCATTAAATGATTGAAAACAATTAAAGCTCATTAAATGATTGAAAAATGCTGATAAGACCTTATCCAGCAAGTTGTTCTTCGGATAAAAAAAAAGTTTAAAATGCCAGATTTAGCCAGTGGGAGATAAGAACCAACACTCTAGAGCAGCACTAAATTATTTTATCTTCTAATTTAGTGCAAAAACTTGACTTTTTAGTTTAAAAAAAAATTAAATAAAATTAAAAACTGTAAGATAAAATGTGCTTGTCGACCGTTTAGTTGGTCTAACTTTAGAACGGCAGCACTTGTGACTTAAGGGACGGGTTCACATTTCGTTGTTTAGTTGGCTCATAGGTTTTTACAGGTTTGTTTGGCTTTTCTAAATTATTTTCTGCTATTCGCTTCTTACTTCATACACAAGTTTGTAAATAGAGAATATCGGTTATTATTAAAAAATATTTTTGACGTATCATCATTTTTACTTTAAGTTTTTAGCCAAGGTGGGCGAACGGTAGAGCGTTCGGTTACTAGCTGAAAGGTCTCTATTATAGTTCAAATCTCGGTCCGGATGTCCCTGAGTCCACCCAGCTCTAAAGAGTACCTTACTCACGTTGGGAAAGTAAAGGCGGCTAGACAAAGTGCTCACCAAACTATGCCTATATATGCCGAGGTCAAGAAACATATGAACTCTACTTCACCTGCCCTATGGATCTTTAAGTCTGAATGAAAAGCTTTACTTACATGAGTTTTAAAGTGTTAATGAGTTTTATGCAAAACTACGCGATAGAAAAACTTTTTCGCTTATTCATGTATTTATTTATATACAAATTGAATGATAATGGGTGGGGGGCAATAGTTTTTTGGGTTATAGAGCCATTTGTTGAATAATTTTATTTTTTCCAGGGAGAGCATCACAAAAGTAACACAATGCATCTGTATTCATTGTTATTTCCCTTGATGTTGTTGCCTTGCTTTATCAGCGCGGCTCCACAACTTCTTGGGAAATTCCCGTTTCCTCACGCCGCCTTCTCCGGTTTGTACCGTCAGTCCACCGGGTCCAAGTATGACCTGCTCCTGGCCAGCTTTGGCATGTTCAGTAGTGACGTCAGCATCGTGCATGACGTGGGGCAGTACATGAGGGACGTCACCAAGATTAGCCCCAGCACTCTGAGCAACAATCTCTTGTGGCCCAACGAGATATCTGGAACACCAGGCCAGTAGATGGTTAATCAAGCAGTGTGTGTGTGTGTGTGTGTGTGTGTGTGTGTGTGTGTGTGAGTGCCTGTTAGTGTATGCGTTTCTTGATACTTGTGTGTGCGTGCGTGTGTGCGTGTGCGTGTGTGTTAGTGTGTGTGAGCTGGGGACAGCAATCCATTTAGGAGAGAAAACTCCGAAATCAAACAGGAGTGGAGCCCCTTAGGCAATAGGATTACCTGCTCCTTTAAGCAGCTCCTGCGACACTGCTGATGTCAAGCTGTACAGGTAAGGTCCTGTCCCTAGGGTCCATCAGCTGTGTGGAGAGAGGGGGCTGATACACGGGCAACATCTGGCTCTTCCCATCTTACTGCCCAGCAAATGTGCCATACCAAACAAGTAATGGAGTAACTAGAGGTCCATCCATAGCGGTATTTCCCCCTGTATCAATTGCTTTGAAGAGATGTTTTCTAAATTGACAGTTCACTACACTAAATGATCATCGGGGGTGTTAGGACTGAGAACTCGTCCTTGGAAGTGTCATTATTTAGCTTCGATACGGCATAAACTGGACCTCTGAACATTGGCCACTTCTGTCGACCTTTTCCATATCATCATGTTTTCATCCACCCCCCCCCCCCCACCCCACAGCCGGAGCACTGAATGGACGCTACGTCGTCATCCCCGACGGGTTCCTGGTGCCCACCAAGACCGACGGCTCCATCTCCCTGTACAACCTGGACTCACCTAACGGCAGTCTTCACGTGATCTCAACCGGGAGCATTGATTGGTTCTACCACCGCGTCATCTGGCACGATATGAATAAAGATGGGACTCTCGACGCCCTCACGTGCAGGGCCAACAAACCGCTCATTGGTGGGTTCCTGTTTTCATTCATACGTTTGAAGTTTCAGTCATAAGTTAGTTTCGTATTTTAATACAAAACAAATCTTTTCCCTTGAGTCTATAGCATATTGTCTTTGTATTCTAAACCTCCCTTTATTTAGCAAAAAATTCCTGATTCACCTGTAAAATATATAAAAATGGCGTATATACCATTATATTTAAACGAGGCGTCGTCCAAAATCCATGGTTTTGTTATGTCTCTCCCCCCCCCCCCCCCCCACACACACACTCCTCAGGTGCTACCTCAGGTGAGCTGCTGTGGTTCTCTAACCCCGCTGGGCACTCCGTGGACAGACCCTGGAGTGAGAACGTGATCGCCCAGGGTCCGGACGTCTTCTTTGACGTGTCCAAGTTCACGGCCGGCGGCAAAACCTACGAGGTCATCGTTGTGGCCCAGTTCTTCCACCCGTCCTTCAAAGTCTTCTGGACGGAGGACCCACGACAGAACTGGTCGAACCACACCGCAGTGAGTGCTCACTTTCACACGAATCATGGGCGTGTCAAACTATTAAATTATCACACATCAGTACTCACTTTCAATTAAATCATGGGCGTGTCAAACTACTATCATACATCAGTACTCACTTTCAATCAAATCATGGGCGTGTCAAACTACTATCACACATCAGTACTCACTTTCAATCAAATCATGGGCGTGTCAAACTACTATCATACATCAGTACTCACTTTCATACAAATCATGGGCGTGTCAAACTACTATCACACATCAGTACCCACTTTCAATCAAATCATGGGCGTGTCAAACTACTATCATACATCAGTACTCACTTTCATACAAATCATGGGCGTGTCAAACTACTATCACACATTAGTACTCACTTTCAATCAAATCATGGGCGTGTCAAACTACTATCACACATCAGTACCCACTTTCAATCAAATCATGGGCGTGTCAAACTACTATCATACATCAGTACTCACTTTCATACAAATCATGGGCGTGTCAAACTACTATCACACATTAGTACTCACTTTCAATCAAATCATGGGCGTGTCAAACTACTATCACACATCAGTACTCACTTTCAATCAAATCATGGGCGTGTCAAACTACTATCATACATTAATGCCCACTTTCAAACAAATCATGGGCGTGTCAAACTATTAAGTCATCACACATTCAGTTATGCCGTTATAACAGCATAAGCTTGACATCCAAATGGCTACTGGTATAGAATCATCTCAAGACGTCTGCGTCGTTCTCGGTCGTTTGTTACAGTTGTCCTGAAACTCCCTAGTTACCGTTGTCCTGAAACTCCCTAGTTACTGTTGTACTGTAACTTATCTGAAATATTTCAATGATAACAACGAAGTAGCTTTGACAACATTCTTGGTCGTCGAATTATAACCTGGAATTTGTGAACTAAGTTGCAAAAGGGGCGCAGAGGGTGTGGCACTGCCAATGGCATGCCAAAATTGAGACGCCACCGGTCGTTCCTGATTTAAAAAAAAACAAAAAACCACTCCTTTTGAATCAAAATGGGAGGGAGGATGGGGTTGAATGCAGTGTTTCTTCCAGACTTTTTTCTCCGGGGGGGGGGTGGCACTTGAAATTTTCCTTGGCGGTCAACATTTTTCGGGGGGGGGGGGGCGGACACTAGTAAAGGTGTATGTTTACTATATAAAGTCCATCTCGTTTGGGGGGGCGGGCGGTAGACTTTCTTCAGAGATGCCTGGAAGAAACTCTGGTTGAATGGATGAGTGGTGAGGGTTTAAAAGATGGTTTTAGACCCCAAAACAATTGACTCGCTTAGAGATGTGACATTAGAACACGTCAGTCCTTACCCGCACTGTCTCAGCATAATGTGTAGTCTTGTATTGAGTGTCAGGGTATCTGAGGCTCTCATCTCCTGACGTCACTCGTGTATACCTGGCGTGCTCCACAGATCAGGAGCAAGGTCATCGACACCCCCGCCGGGAAACCCTTTGATGTCGTCATAGCCGACGTCAACGCCGACGGCAAACTGGACATAGTGGCGACAACAAACGACGAGCACAACGGTACAGTGCTGGTTTACCAGGTGCCCGCGGACTTCAGGTAGTTCCATTGGCGTCACGCTTCATTTGGCGCTAGTGTTTCAGGTAGTTCCATTGGCGTCACGCTTCATTTGGCGCTACTGTTTCAAGTAGTTCCATTGACATCACGCTTCGTTTGGCGCTAGTGTTTCAGGTAGTTCCATTGGCGTCACGCTTCATTTGGCTCTAGTGTTTCAGGTAGGTCCATTGGCGTCACGCTTCATTTGGTGTTAGTGTTTCAGGTAGTTCCATTATCGTCACGCTTCATTTGGCTCTAGCGTTTCAGGTAGTTCCATTGGCGTCACGCTTCATTTGGTGTTAGTGTTTCAGGTAGTTCCATTATCGTCACGCTTCATTTGTCGCTAGTGTTTCAGGTAGTTCCATTGGCGTCATGCTTCATTTAGCGCTAGTGTTTCAGGTAGTTCCATTGGTATCACGCTTCATTTGGCGCTAGTGTTTCAGGTAGTTCCATTGGCGTCACGCTTCATTTGGCGCTAGTGTTTCAGGTAGTTCCATTGGCGTCACGCTTCATTTGGCGCTAGTGCTTCAGGCAGTTCCATTGGCATCACGCTTCATTTGGCGTTAGTGTTTCAGGTAGTTCCATTGGCGTCACGCTTCATTTGGTGTTAGTGTTTTAGGTAGTTCCATTGGCGTCACGCTTCATTTGGCGCTAGTGTTTCAGGTAGTTCCATTGGCGTCACGCTTCATTTGGCGCTAACGTTTCAGGTAGTTCCATTGGCGTCACGCTTCATTTGGCTCTAGTGTTTCAGGTAGTTCCATTGGCATCACGCTTCATTTGGCGCGATGTTTCAGGTAGTTCCATTGGCATCACGATTTATTTGGCGCTAGTGTTTCAGGTAGTTGATTGGCGTCACGCTTTATTTGGCGCGAATGTTTCAGGTAGTTCCATTGGCATCACGCTTCATTTGGCGCTAGTGTTAAAAAAAAAAAGATTCCTCTTTTCCTCTGAACTTCAACTAGCTAGCTGTTAGTGTTATAACCTGCCCTTTGTTCAAACCTCCAAAATGATAATAATGACATTCTGGAATCTTCCGCTGCACTAGATCTGGAACATACACACGTCATCTTCTAACATCTGGCTACGCATCTAAATCGATTGGACCAAACAAAGGTGGACCTGGATCGCCTTACGTCGTAAAGACTGGGTAACTTTATCCCTCCCTTCTTCTCAAAATAGCAACACGATAGGCCTATTTATTACACCTTTTAATTGTTGATCAACAACTAGTATATTTTTTTTTGGTAAATTTTAAAAACTGACAAATAAAACCAAGCTTACAAGTCCACTTCTCTATCTCCTAGAGCATCAAACACGAAGCCGTCGATTCTTGTAGCTGGTGATGACGCAGCCGTTGTTTCCCTGCTGACCCCCGCAGCACCAAGTGACCCAAACAACTGGAACTACGCCAGGAACGACTTCCTCACCACCGGCTCCAGCACGGTGGGCGGGCTCAGCTTTGCTGACGTCGATGGTGACGGGCGGGTGGAGTTATTTGTCCCTTCGTATGACGAGGGAAAGGTTGACGTGTATCGTCTGTAGTTAAGCTGTACCATTAGGACAACGGCCGATACTTTATTTAAGCTGTGAATATTCGTCGTTTCGTGTATTGCTCCTAACATGTTTCTAGATTGAATAAACATTTTAAACCCAGTATTTGAACTAAGATTATGATAATGCTTCATATTTTGTCAATAAACATTTGAGTTGTTTAATATTTAATACAAATTAACTTTTTGCCATGTTTTGTAGAGGAACAAATAACAAACTTCGAGTTTTAAGTAGTCAACAAAATAATTCATTGAATAAGTTTTATTTTATAAAATCACAAATCAGATATTTATATTGTATCATACAAATTTTTGTATGTTCATTACATAAAATTACAAAGTGAAGTTTATTCTATATTAACATTATGGGTCCTGGAGTTGTTCCTGGTAATTCTCATTGTCTTCAGAATTTTCACTGCCAGCATACTTTAAGTGTTCCTGATAGTTCTCAATATCTTCAGGTTTTATGTCTGTGTCTTCTTCATAGTCCTCATTGTCTTCAGACTTTTGATCTAAGTGTTGCTGATAGTTCTCAGAGTCAATATCTTCAGGTTTTATGTTTGTGTCTTCTTCATAGTCCTCATTGTCTTCAGACTTTTGATCTAAGTGTTCCTGGTCATTTTCAGGAACTTCAGACTTAAGACCCATGTCATGTTCTTGATAGTTCCCATCTTCACACTCAAGATCTTTGTCCTCTTGACCACCATCCATCTCTTGGTCTGACTCCTCTTTCTCAGCAGTTAACAGCAGGTCGACCTCCTCTATAGGAATCCTGACCCTGACCTCCTTCTCAGTCATCAGATCCTGGACTTCCTGTAGTTCAGCATCTCCAAATATGGAGATGCCATCAGTATAGATGCACTGTGATGTTGGTGAGAAAGAAAAAGAATAATATTTTGCTTGTAATATTTTTAGTAAGCACAATGTCCTGAAAAGATTTTTGAATGAGAGACAAAAACAATTTTTAAAAATTGAACTGAGATTTTTTTGGTAGGGTCTTGAAGATCTGATACTAATTTGAAATAAGCTTTAAGTGTTTGATACAATTTAAATAAGCCTATTATTTTAAAAAGCATGTTATGGTTGTTTCGAAATAAATAAAATATTACCTTGGCCCAAGGACAATGCTGCAAAGCTCTGTAGAAGATCCCTTTGGCTCGCCCCATATTGCCATATTTCACCTAATTAAAAAATACAATAAATAGTTGTTTTTTTTTAAAACATTTTTGGCTGATTTTCAAGGAAATTTTAAAAATAAATAAATAAATAAAAACTAAACTTCTATTCAGTGTAAAAAAATTCCTCTAGAAAATAGTGCATGCTGCAGAAATATACTGGTGTAGGGCACACAATGCTGATGGGTGTGGGTGTGCCTGACCACAAGTATACCTACCCAGAGGCGTAGCGAGGGGGGGGGGGCGGGGGTGAGGATCGCATCAGGTGACACCATTTAGGGGGGTGACACCAAGGCAAAAAATAGTAAAATATATAGAGAAAAATTTGAGGGGGGGGGGGGGGGGTGCAAATCGAAAGTTTGAGGGGGGTGGGGTGTGCAAATCAAAAATTGTCCACGGGAAGAGTAGCTAAGCCTCTGGGGGGTGACACTATTAAGTGCCACACCGGGTGACACCCGACCTCGCTACGCCACTATACCTACCTGGTTGACCACACTTTTCTTGTTTCTTAAACAACAGCTTTTGTGATTACATCTAATGTGTTTTTGTTTATTGATATGATCCAATTGGTAGTTATAATACAAAGTTAAAATTTTTTATCAAGAGATGGTTTTGATAAGTGGAAAAAAAACAAGAACAAATGATAATCACTGAATGAAACAAAGCTGCTAACAATATCAGACCTCAAACATCAGATACAGCCTCCATACGAGTGGACAGTGACGACTAGCCTGCAACTTGACACAGTGCTCAAATAATGCCCTGATACGGTTGACACTGCCACTGTCTTGTAGTATAGTGTAATCTGTTGAGTTGAGCATAGTTGTATAACATTCTACATAAATGTGTAGTATAGTATAATCTGTTGAGGTGGTGATAATTTTATAACATTCTACATATGTGTAGTATAGTATAATCTGTTGAGGTGATGATAATGTTATAGCATTCTACATAAATGTATCATCTGCAGAGTTGGGAATATTTTACATAGTAGTTTTTAGCACTCTACAGAGATTTCTAGTACATAAATATAAATAATACAACCTGTTAAGCTAATTATAGAATACACTTCAGTTTCTATTGTCAATCAATTACATCTACTGCTTGGATGAAAAATGTTAACTTTTGGCTTGAATTTTATAAATAGTTTTACTTCTGTTTATATAGAAATTTTATGTTTGATATTTAATTATTTTATAAAACTACTCTAACAAAATATATTTGCTATATGTTCTAGTGAGTACTAACTGCACCTGTAGACTTTGGTCAAGAGTACAAACCTGTTTGTAGAAAGTCTGCAAGATCCAGTGCTTTCATAATAGATTTGTGCCTGACTAGCTCTGAGAACACAGCATGCAATGGCACCACAACACTAGTGCACATTTTTAGACTGCGGTCGTAAAACTTTCTAAGTCTGCCGGCAATGTTGGCACCAGATTCTATTCTGATAAAGGCAGCGTGGAACTGAGGACAGTTCTGGAACTCACTAAGAGCTTTATCAATTAACTGTCTCAACTCTGTTAGGGGAATGACAAGGATGTGTTTGGCATTGAACAGGAAAGACATTTGGTTAAGGTAGATGTGTTTTTTAACTGCTAAAAGTTTAAAGGCTGTTGGATTTGTATCACAGAGTGCTTCTAGTTGAGAAACAGCATGTGAGTAGACACAGTTGGCAGCTTTAAAGTTGGAGGCACTGAACTCAAACATAGCAAAACATTCAACTAAAGCCGTCAGTAGCTCACAGTGTGTGTCGTCTGCTTGGCGACTCAACTTCTCCAACTGCTCGCTTAAAGTTTTTTCAAAACATTTTCTAATTTTCAGCACATATGCTGGAGTTACGTTGAGCTTGGCGCTGCTTTTGAATGATTTATTCTCAACGAGTGCCCCGAGGCACCCAATGACCTGGTTCTTGTCATCTTGCGTGGGTGGGCAGCGTCTACCCACCGGGCTGATGTGTTCCAGGGGTTCAAAGTTCAACATTATCTGAGAGAAAGTCCTGCACAACAAACACAGCCCTAAAGATTTTTCCGGGTCAGATGGAGCGGAACTTCCCATGAACATATTCAAGGCAACATTTATCATGTTGACAGTTTCAGCCATTTTGTCAGAACACGCCCACAGAATCCTAATATACGCGTCCCACACCACAAGATTATTTCTGTTATGGCTTTCTTTCAGCAGATTTTTACCAAACTTTTTAATCTCTTTTATCTGTGGTTGTGGCACCTCTGAAACTCTTTTGGCTCCGGTTTTTAAAACCTCAAGCTCCATTCGCAGCAGCGTGAAGAGAACCCGATTGGTTGAAATAAAATAGGACTCAGCTTGTTCGATGGTGTCCCGAATAAATCTCACCAGGTATTCCTTTGGCTTCCATGTTGGGTTGCAGTTTAACTCCACATTAAAATCTGATAAAGTTGGATACTGAAACAACATTGTCCGCACATACTGCTCAAACTTTGAGCTATAATCCAGGCCACTAAGTAGAGCCAGTTTTTTATCCAACACATCAGAGGACAAACCCAGAAACTTGAGGAAGAGACCAACTATTCTAACACAGGATTCAGACTTTGTGAACCGAAACATAGCAGGTCCAATGTCCTCAAACAACACAATCCTATCCAAGTCTTCACAGTTCTCATCTGTTTCCCCTTTCTCTGTGTCCGGTCTCCATGGCAACCAATGGAAGTTCTGACGAACCTCTTCCATCTTAAGCCATGACTGAGATCTAGTAAGCTTTTCCAAAACAATGGCATCCTCTAATTGATCAGTGTTTTCTGTCAAGAAAGAAATAATTACAGTAGAGGTACTATGAAAGGTTTAGCCCAAAATGTAAAAACGAAGTTTCAACTGGACTATCATTACAGAATAATAAAATACATAACAGAATTTTACGCCCAGAAAAAAAACAAAGAGAGGTCGAACATCAGCAGAACATAATTTAAATAAGGATACGGAAACTAAAACATTACTTTAACAATAAAAACATGCTGATACTCTGACCAAAGTTGTTGTTAGAAAAATAAAACAAGGTAAATAATAGTGGTAAAGACAGGTTCAAATTCTGAGGTTCAACAATCACACATTTAAATCATTCTCAGTTCAATGAAGAAAATCTACTAAATTTCAAAATTTTAGCAACTATTCCATTGTCTTAATATATTTCTTATGTTTTGGAACTTTAGGGCAAACATATACAAATCTTTACAATAACCAGGTTTTAAAAGCACTAGAAATCTTTTTAATATATTTTAGTTGTGCTTTTACTATTAAAATAACAATTTATTTTTCCAGTATTTTAATGACACTGAAAATCTTTTAATGCTTAAATCATTAAAGTTTTTACATGTTTAATTTACTTAATTTCAGTTTTAAGGTAGTGTAAGAAGTTAGTAGTAATTTGATACTAACTAATAAGGTATTTTTAAAAAAACAAGATGTTGAACAACCATTATGCTAGTTGTTATAAACTGATCAGTAGTTTGCAATATATCATGTTGATAATATTCCCTTTAAAAATCACAGAGAAGATTTGACCATAAATCCACCCTACCATACACCAACATTGTGACCGAAGCTTGTAAAAAAAACAGAAATGTTTACCTGAAGATGGAATAAAAGTTGAAGTTTCTGTTTGAGGTTTCTCAACCCATTTATTCCAGCCTCTAGCATTGGGTTCCCCAAACCGTGGCACCCCGCTTTCCCAGAATTCCTCAAAAGCCGTGACTCTCTCCCTTGATAGGCTGAGATTGAGAGAAGCTGGACAAAACAGGTTGAACTCAATGAGAGCTTGGTAGCTGCTGACAGCCCGCTCTGTGTGGCCCACACTGTGCAGGAAGTCACAGTACTGAGAGAACAACCCTGTCCAACAGTAAAACACAGTGCTAAAATTTGTACTCATTTTAACTTTTTTTAAACAAGAGGTTTAAAAAGGGGAGGTAATTATTTAACTGTTAGGGAAGCAATCTATGATACAAAACAAATGTAATTACTGATCAATTTCTCCTCTAAACCATCCTTCTTGTGAACAACTTTAACTTGCCCATCGTGTATGGGTACCAGGGTGTGGAAACACCTGTGGTAGGATTTGACCATTTTACTGAAGGAAAACCTGAAGAGCTGCGACTGCTGATTGGAGAGGTATTGCTGCCAAAGGTCAACATCAGAAGAGTAGGCAAACAAAAGATCTTGCCAGGATTTTTCTAGCTGTATTAAAAAAAACAATAAATGTCTGAACAGAAATTTAAAGTCCCTTTGTTGGCTAAAGAACAAGCTAACAGAAAAGCATTTTATTAGTATTTATAGTAATTTCTTAACCAATATTAAAGTTGTCTCTGATAAATCAATTGTGTAATAAGTTCTAAAATCTATTAAAAATTTGAATAAACTTTTTTTTCTACCTTTTCAGCTTCCCAAACATCTTGGCATAACTCCAGCTTGGCCAGTTTCAATTCAACAGATGATGGGTTTGCCTCAAGTGCCTTATCCAGAATAGACAACTTTTTCTCAATGACAGATTTTGATGGTATATAAACATCCCGCAGACGAATCGTCTGACCTTTAAAACTTTTATCTTCCTGCGCGACCACATCTTGAAACTGAACAAACTCCAGCCACAGCTGAACATTCTGAGGTGTTTCTCTTGTCTTTTGGTTAAAGATGCGAACTTTCTGGAATATTTCATCCAGCTCAAAGTCTTCAACCTCCAGGTTTAGCTTGCTGTAATCTGAATCTTTGCCCTTTACGTACTGAGCTGTGCCTTGATCTAAACAGCTGTAACTGCCTAAAGTTGTCTTCCAAAAGTCTGTATCAGCTTTAGGTAACGCTATAAAATCTTGTACACGTATTGGACCAGTTTTTGTACTTCCTGTAGTGCTAATCCCTGGTGCTCTGGTCTTTTGAAAAACTTTTTTATTAAAATACCTCCATTTGGTTTGCTTATTTGTATCTTTTTTAGGCTCTCTAATCTTAAGATGAGCAGCACCAAGACAGTTGTAGCTGTGTGTCTTGTATTTGGAAATGTGACTTTTAGAGACTGACCCGTAGTTCCAGAGATCCTTATTTTGTCTTCTGTCTGTACGAAATGCGTGCTCTGGTTTAAGATCAGGAATATCCTCTAGGAAAATTGCTCCAGTTGGGATCTTCACTTGAGGGGGATGTACCCTGAGTTAGTGATGTATGAGAGGGACAGTTAACCACAAAGTATTTCAAACACAAATGAACGACATAACCTGTTTAATTCAGGTCCAAACATAGCTCACATAAAAAGCTTGAAAATGTAATATTAATTACAAATTTAAAACTAATTGAAATTATTCTTAATCTTAAAAGAATTCAATAAAATGCTATAAAACATATGTAAAAAAATATTTTTTATTTTTACTTTTGTTCAGGGGTTGGACTTGGACCGGGGGAGTGATGTTTTCTTTTTTTCTGCTTTTTCTTTTTCTTTTTAACTTTTTTACTGTCTTTGGATCTTTTAGTAGGCTCTGGAGATGATCCATCTTCTGAAGATCTGTCTAGAGAAAAATATACCCACTACAGACTCAAGGCCAGACACACTGGTAATAAACCTTTTAGAGCAATAAACTATTGTTTTGATCTGTAGGCAACAGAATGTATGTTGGATTTATTTACCTTAACAAAAAAAACAACAAGAAACTAGTGACTGAAGTCATTAAAAAATATTTTACCTTCATGTGTAGGAGATTTCCTTTTGCTTGAACCTTGTAAATCTTTTTGCTTTAATTCAGTACTAAAAATCAAAAGGAAAATAAAGATTAATAAATGTTTTCCCTCATTCTCATTTGGGTAGAGTGTTTTTGTTGGTTGCAAACAACTGTAAATATATGAAATTTAAGATGCAAAATTTAAAACTAAAATTTACTTAAAAAACCAATATAATTCAAGAACGGAGCCCACATTTAATTTGAAAATAAAAATAGAGAGCTAATCACTTTAAACAAAATTTAAAAACCATTAACCTTTCTTTATCTTTTCCTATTTCATCAAGTGATTTCTGTGCAGCAATTATAGCACTCAATGTTGAAGGTGCAAGTTCAAGTCTAAGGGATTCCAAACCAACTTTGTCTAAAAATTAAACAAAATAAAAACAAAATGATATTACCATTTCAGTTATAAAAATATAATATCCAGTAATTAATTGTAGTGTAGGTTTTTAATAAAATTCATTTTTAAAAACAACAGTTACGTTTTAATTCTACTAGTACTACTACTAAGTTTCTGTTCTTAGTTAGACTAAGTACAATCCTGAATTTATCTGCACACATTAGAAATCAAGTTAAACTTGCTTTCTTTCATAAAAGCATTGGTCACTTTTAAATGAGTAAGATATTTAATTAGTGACCAATGCTTTAATATTTATTTAATATCTCAACATCAGCATGTCATGAATTGACATGACTGATGATTGGGTCAGAAGCCAGTCAGTACAGAGTACAAGGTGCCCCTGCAACTAAGATGAGTACACCAGTACACTACCACTGCTAGACTACACTTAAGTCTTAGAAGATCAAGTTATTCAAGTAATAGATCTGGATGATATTTCGAGTAGTCCCTTTGAATCCCGGTCAGAACGTCCCCCCGTCGTGGCCTCAACCAACCGGCGGGCTTGTTGCATTGAGTTAAATATAAACTCAAAACAATAATATTATATAAACAATCTCCTTTTAGTTTTTAGGTCGGTCAGGCCACATACCAGGCAGCACTCACTCTCAGTGACTACACTCACTACAGTTACACACACAGGAGTCACAAGTCAACAGTCACTCACTCCATCTGTCACACTACTTCACTACTCATGACTACTCAGTAGTGTGACTCAGTAGTCAGTAGAGTAGTGTCAGACTACTGGAGACTAGACTAGTTTTTTTAGTAGTCTGAGTACTGAGTAGTGAGTCACTGAGTAGTGAGTAGTCAGTCATCAGTAGTGTCAGTACTCACTAACACTTCACTAACTACATCGTTTCAGTAAAATTCGAATTTAAGTTACCAGTATGTGATATGCATGAATCTTGTGATTCTGGATATAGAGCCGTAGCAGATGGGAACAAACCACCACTGCTACCAGCAGCAAACAGTGGTTTAATTGGGTGTTTCAGTAGAGAATTATCATTGTTTGTGTTTTCCATTTTACCGGAAATAGATTTTGACTTTCGGTTTTATAAATTTGCTTGGAAGTGTGGATTTAAGCAGTTCGTTGCGTTAAAAAATTTTCTAACCTACATCTAGAATTAGATTTTTGTCTGTGTATGACTTGAGCCTATGAGGAAATCTAGAATCTAGACTCTAGATCTAGAGATCTAGAGAGAGAATGAGAGATCAACAAGCTTCGCAGTAGTTAGAATCTAGATCTAGACTAGTAGATCAAGAGATTTGTTTGCCGTCAACACTTTCTTAATTAGACTAAGTGGTTTTTTAAGTGTAGGCATTGGCTAGACCAAAATGCCAGTTCCAACCACCGGCTCAATGTGCACAGAACTTTGGAAAGGAAAATTGTTAGAAAATTTTAACTCAATGGCTGTAGCTGTAATTTTCAGGTGAGCTAAACAAAAAGCTTAAAGTTTCCAAAAAAAATGAATAAATAGGCCTAGGCTTTCCAAAAATAGGTGTGTTAGGTTGTAAGGCCTTATGTTATGATAATTATTATTGGTAATCTATCGTTTTGGGTACGTAAAATCGCCCGCGATTTGTAATGTGAAAAACAGGTGACTCCTTACATTTTAATAATTATTTCACATTTTGAGGAGGATTTATGTTTTAAAAAATTCAAAAATGTTTCCTTGATTCATTTATGTACCTGTTTTTAAACAATTGAATTAAAACTTTTCCGTAATAAATGAAGACTAGCGATGTTTCCAACAGATGCAACCATGCTCATTTACTATAGCAGCCATCTTGTCTAAGTTTTATTTTTATAAGCTTTTAGCGCCAGATTCAGGGGGAAGCCACTCTATTTTACAAATGGCTGCTGTTTATATAGCAAATCTTGCTCTCAGACACTGCTGTTTAAAGTTAATTTCTGGCCTATATCGATATATTTAGCCATTGATTTAGGTTTATTATTCATTTATCTATAATATTTGACACAAAAGTATGACAATATACTTCTATTAAAGCCTTGACAATGAGGTAACGTTTTCGTACATAAATAGCCGCGGGCGATTTTACGTACCCAAAACGATAGATTACCTTAATATTTAATTAATGATAATTAAATTAATAATTTAATAAACAACTGTCAATGTAAAATTTAAATTAATAAAAGTGTCATCCATAAATTAAATGACGTCACGCTTTTTTTGACGATTTTTACCTCCCCCCTCCGTCACATGTCGTCACAAAAAGCAAGCCCTCCCCCCCCCCTAAAATGACGTCACACCTCAGCCTACAACTACAACCCCCCTCAAAATTGCAGTTGAATTTTTTTTAAAACATCGATATTTTTCTAAAATCTTGTCAGAACTCTGTCATTGAAAATAGAGTATTTTAATCAATTCCTATTCCAATTTATTAAAACAGTTTTCTAAAACAAGAAATAACGTCTAAAATTCGTTTTCTAACATTGCTTTTTCATAATGCAAAAGTGTGACGTTGCACCATCTGCCCCCCCCCCCCCTCCCCCTCCCCACACACCGCTTACAAAATTGCAGACCCCCCCTCCCACCTACGAGCCCAAAACTAAAATGTAAGACATGTAGTAGATCTAGTAGTAGTAGTAGATATTAGATCTATACTTTTTACAAAAAACTAATTTAAATGTTAGTTCTGTCTTATTTGGCCATTTTTTAAAAAAACTTAAAAATATCTGAATTACACTGAGAAAAAATTGCTTATTCGCCCCTTTTTAGCTCCAAAAAAGCCGCTAACCAAAAAACAGAGAAAGCATGCATTTGAGTCATTTGATTGGTTGAGGCTTACACTTTGAAATCCTCTAGGGACTGCTCAAAATGTATACCTTCAAAGTTTGTATTTTAAAAACACCTTGAAAACTGAGTACTGAGTAGATTGAAACATTCTATTAAATTCTACTTCATTTTATTAAATGTTATGTGTATAATACTTTAACAGAATTAAAACCTACATACTTCAGACTAAATAATTTGTGTGTGTGTTATAAATATTACCATTCGAATATGCACATATTTAAAATCTAGAATGTTTACATTACCTTTAATTAATCCTATGTTGATTTGCATTAAATTAAAAGTATTAACAAATTCCATGCAAATACACGTTTGTGAGTTTTTCCTGTAACTTTTGTTTTTTACAATTGTTTACATACACGTCACAGACTCACCATTCTGCCTGAGAATGAAAAGTATCAGAACCTTTTCTCCAGATGAATCTTAAATAAATTTAAAAAAATGACATATTCAATCTGTGATGATTTACAATGACTAAACAACTTAGAGATTTCGTAGTGTTTTGTTTAGCCTAGGTCACATTTGAATGATGTCATTTAATTTAAGCACTCTCTTACCGTATGTGGCAAAATGCTCAACCCCACGACATAGCTAAAATGATCTTACAAGACATAGTATCCACTAAAATAACCATAATTATAACAATAAGTAAGACGTTTTTTTTTGTTATTTTTATTTTTAAGATGTATAAAATGTTAATTTTATTTTACGAAGGCCTACTGGGCTAAGCCTCATTCTAGGCTGCGAGGATGGGATGGTTAGAATCCACGACCTCTCAGCTAAACATTTAGATGAAAAACCAAAGGTATGTTATTGAAATAGATCTGAAACTTATTATAAAACGAAACTTCAAAAGCTTTACATTATTTTTACTAAATCATGTAAACGTCTTTGATTGCTCTTGAAATATAGGATATTGGCATGCTAGTGAAATGAAATATGGCAATAGTGAAATTTTTATAATTTTGTTTGAAAAATCTTAGATTCTTCTGTTACACATACTATTATTGCAAATTGCTATTTGGGTATTTAGAAAATTGTGATAGTTATTTGTATAAATAAAAATGTTTCCAGACAATACTAGAGACAAAAAGTGGTCCAATTCAATGTCTTACTGTGCATGATGTCACAAGATTTTATCACAATGACCTGATAGTCGGAGACTCTTGTGGAATGTTGACAGTGTTTTGTAACCGCCAGATTTTGTCACGTCAGTCACTTTCATCTGACAGCATCATTTGCTCTACTGTTGTGGAGGATAATGGTAAGCTTTTGTGCTTTTATTGCAGTTTATTTTCTCTCATCTTAATTTTCATTATTTGTCATATAAGGTTGAGATTATAAAAAAGTTATTTCATTGATTTGAAAAGGCATCTTATATTTTAAAATATCATTTAAAGTAAGTATCTTTAGAAGTTTTAAGGATTTATTAAATTAGCTTATTATTGAAATTTGTTTTATACAGGTGGGAGTCCAGTTATAGTGAGTTCTAATGACTCAGGAGTTATAACAGGAGTACAACCAACAGAGGAGCTATGGAGAATAAATCTTAATAGTTTATCAAATAAGGTATTTGGTGTATTTTCACTAACCACTCTACTGATATACTTATACTGTCAATTTTGGATTTCTAGATAATATAATAGGCCTACATGCTCATCCTGTGTGCTCTTCTTCCTGGCTATAGTATTATAGTAGTAATATTAAATAGTGTGGTTTTTAAAAATGTAATATAATATTTATTTTTAGAATCCAGCATTGATTGTGAAGATTTCCTGTTTGTTAGCTGTGCATATTACAGATGCATCAGGGAATAAGAGGCAATATCTGCTGGCTGCTGATAATGCTAAGAGAATTCATGTCATTAGTAATGGATCTTTAGTGTCATCTCTAATTGCACCCAATAACATTACAGCTGTAAGTCTGTCGTTGTAAACCACAGCAGGTGATAATGAAATTAAAATAATTTCTGACAACTTAATGACATCCACCTCAAATTCATAGTTTTAAATATGTGTATAGATGTTATAAAAAGTTGTGCTTGTAAAGTTATTTTTCTTATATTTAGATGACTCAAGGCAGGTTTATACCGTCAAGTAAACTAAACCTGCCCTCAGGGTTGTCTCAGTCTGCAGAAAGTGAACAGGTTGCACTAGGTTCAAGCTCAGGGTCTGTTTACATTCTTCACAATTTTAATGTAAGTTATCTTGTTTCAAATGTATGATTGTATTTTTTAGTTAACCTACTACAAGGCCGATAATTCTTAAAAGTTGTGATAACATTATAAATATAACTTCCAGATCACACTAGACGAGTATGTGAACGCAAAATGTCCTATAACAAATCTCTGTACCTTACCGCAACCAGACAACACTACAGATATTTTACTGTGTGCTGGCCATTTTAGTTCACTTCACCTTTATAAAGACAGAGAAGTAAGTTTTGTTCTACATTTACAATGATTTAATAGGCGCTAATATTGGCAGATTGTTGACTTAATAAAGCAGCATAACGTTTCCTGATTTTTAGTTATTTAGACTTAAGAGCTTGGACAAAGAATTGAATTGAACAACTTGCTTAACAACAAAGATTTGTTAAAATTATATTTGATATATAATAGGGAAGTAATGCACATACTTAAAAAGTTACAAGTTTAATTCTCAAAATGAGAACAAGAAGTCACTTTTTGGAAAGTATTTCTTGCAAAAAACCAAATTGTGTTCTGTGGTTTATATGTCTATATTACTTTAACAAAACAGTAGGGGAAGTAATAAAACAACATTTGGATAAAGATCTTTAGGAGACAGTTTTATTAATTCATGTTCAACATATTTATTTTAGTGAAAATACCATATTTTTCTTTTTTTTTAAAGTTATTAACAGAATATCACACAGCAGATTGGGTCAATAACATTGCTACAGCAGACATAGATGATGATGGAGTGTTAGAAATAATTCTGGGATGCATGGATAAATCAGTTGTTGCACTAAAAGTATAGTTGTGTTTTATGGAAATCATTGTGTTAAATGAAATCATAGTTTTGTAATATAATAATAAAAAAGCAAATAAAGTTGTACAAAGTTTATTTGATCTGTTGAATGGTCCTTTATTTATAAGATGGTGAAAGTCAAGCTAGGTGCTGGTTGGATGTATGTTTTTTTTTGCCTATATCTTTTCTTCTAAATATAATTTTAAAACTCATCTTTGATAGTGCATAAAATGCCCATGATACTTGCTTATTAGCAAAGCAGTTGAAATTTGTCTTTATTTGTTTTGAGTTGTCTGAGTATCAGAAGCAAAAAAAAAATTTTTTTAATAACTTACAACTTAATAAACGTCAGGTACTTTATAAAAAGTGAAAAAAAAAGAAACCCTACATAAAAAAATGTATAATCTGAAATTTGTTTATATCTATTGAAAAAAATTGCTCATAGTGTGCTGCAGTTTATCAATGCTATATAAATAAAAAAGCTAAATCAAAATATTTACAGAAATACATACATTACTTCATATCAGTCACACAGCCATTTAAAAAAAAATTATAATTAGACAAAACTTACTGAACAGAATTCATTCATTCACAATTCAATACTCAAAATTTACAGCTGTTTTAAAATAATCTCCTTTGATTCAGCCATGGTTATGAAAAAATAACCCCATTGACACAGTCAATTGATTTTTTAACACAGTAAATGAGTAATTACTGAACTCATTCCACTGAAAAACATGAGCAAGTTTACAATTCACTGCTTAGACAATCTGACCAATACAAGCTTTATTTCATTTTAGTATGTTTTTCAGGGCAGTACTTTGGTAGATATTGGTACATCACATTAGTGAAATATATTTACATTTGAAATGAATCAACATTCACTATACACTAGGGTGATATTGTATAGAATATTTTGCTAAATTAAATAGAAAAATGAGCCCAATTCTAAAAGATTTTTAAAAATCTACTGTATTTTAATAAAATACTGGGTGAAATGTATATTTATGTGCATTTATGTGCTATTACCTATTTATATCATTCATTAAAACTGTATCTACACTAACAACATACATACAGATTAAAGTCTTGTTTTACTAAGTTATTTTTCTTTTAAAAAAATGCCTTAGATTACAAATATGGTTTTCAAATATCAAAGCAACGATAACTTATAATCAAGCACAGTCAATAAAAACATGTCTGGATCCCATTTCTTTGCTGAAGAACGTGATGTATGTCACAACATCGATGGAAAAAAAACAACTAAACCATAAGTTGAAGTGTTAATCCACAGTGAATATCCTGGAAGCTGAAGAACTTGATGTATATAACAACACCCATGAAAAAAAAAATTGAACTAAACCAAAAGTCAAAGTGTTAATCCATTGTGAATATCCTGGAAGCAATGTCATTGACAACCCAGTCCATGCCATTCAACAAGTTGGCACCAGTTACAGCACTGCAATCTTGGATAAGCCAATGATGGGTTTTAATAGAATCCAGATCTAAAGCCTATAGTGTAAGAAGTAATTGTTACAAATATAAGTTTTCAAGAAATTATAAATAATTCTGTTACAAAGCTACAATAAAAGTAATTTAAAGACATCAGCCATTAGTTTCAGCTCTTTCTATATTTATTAGTATAAATAAAAACTTTTTTTAAAATATTGAAACTAACCTCTCTAATTTCCCTGGCTGTTAATGATCCAGGTAAATCCTGCTTGTTGGCAAAAACCAAAAGTGTAGCTCCAGCTAGTCTCTATGTGATGAAAACACTAATCATTAAACATTTGTCAAGCTCATTATTAGCATTAATACTTATGAAAAGCATTTGTTTTGTGACTTGCAAAATCCAACTTAAAAAAAAAATTTGAAACCTTGTGACAAAAATGTATTTTTAACTAGTTTAAGAATGCTGCTCTAAACATTTCATGTTTTCTCTATTTACTCAGTTGTTTTGATCATACGATTAAGATATTGCTGGAGCAGCCATATTTGGCCGTGTTTACTTCTTACAGATATTCTGTACTGTTGATTTTATTGAAAAAATAATTTTGAAGAAGCCTTGCAGAGCTACATTTGGCACCTGAGTCTAAACAGTTAAGTTTGTGCATAAAATAATTCACCAAAAATGTTTTTGTTTTCATACTTATCTGTGATATCAGAAGAAACTATACAAGATTTTGTTTGCTATAAACCTGAGTTGCTACAAGTTTTTTTTTACAAAAAAAAAGGACTTCATTATTTTTTTTTCTTGTCCAAAATGAAACAAATTTTATTTCTTAAACAAAGAAATTATAAATTAACATTTCTAAGTAGCGCATTTAATTAAAATATTTAATTTCTATAAAATGTAGGTTTTGAGTAAACAAGGAAAAAGTACTATTTTGCCTTTACTTTCCAATTACTGTAATCAATATACAATCAGGCCAGGGAAAATAACTCAGGGCTTGTTTTTTTTAAATTTATTTTAAATATTTTGATTGAACTAATACTTTACCTCTTCAACTAACAGACTATGGAGTTCTTTCTTGCAGTCACTAAGCCTCATGCGATCAGCACTATCCACAACCCATATCAATGCATCTGTACTTTCAAAATAGTTTCTCCAATATGAACGAAGTGATTTCTGACCACCTACATCCCAGATGTTCAACTTGAATCTAATAAAAGAAACAATTTATAAATAAGAAACAACAGTTACATTTAGTGAACAGACACATAATCATGCCCAAAAAGGGCAAAGTAGCCCCAAATCATGTTATGGGAAAATACTGGAAATCATTAATAAAGCTTAAAAAAAATGTATAAAACAAAGCTGACCGCTGACAGTCCAATACATGCTGTAAACAGATCAAATCAAAGTTAAATATTATAATTTAAGCCAAAGTTAACATATTACTATTTTGTGGTGAACATTTAAAAAATAATTCAGTATACTTTACCCTCTATGTTCCAGTGTTTTAATATTAAAACCCAGGGTAGGTGAAATAGTATCAATATCTTCTCCATTAAACTTCTTGAGAATTGTTGTTTTGCCAGCATTGTCAAGACCACTGAAAAACTTGCTTAGGGAAATATTCACATCTTTTTAAAAAACCCAATAAAACCTAATTGAACTAGTTAGCTACTATAATTATAAGATGAAATTTAAAGTTTGTATTTGTTTTGACTATAATGATGGGGGTGGGGGGATTGTCCTCTTTGTGATGAATGTAAAGCTTGTTATTGTTTAAATTCAAGACTGTATATAAAAGGACTCTTGTCCATTTTGTGCCAGAAAAAAAAAATTACCAGGGGGGAGGGGGGTTGGGGTGGGGGGTGGTCATCGTCATTAAAATAAATGTTTTTTTATATGAGTAGTCATTATAATATATTTTGTAACTAAATATGCATATTTCTGAATTGTGTGTATGCCTTTTATATCTAGATCTAACAATTGATTCCCAATCTATATATATAATTCTCTTCATGGGGACCATACGAGATACCTCATCCTGACCTGTCAGGTGAGCTATGGTTCACCCCAAATGTTTACAATAGTAGAGCCTGTTCGAATAAGTGACGGCTATTAGGGGCAGATAATATAGTTTTTTAAACGATTTGAAACTAAGGGGAGATAAGTACTGCTTGATATTTTCATTGTCGTCTGTAAATGGCTGCTTTCACTGGGCGGGGTGGGGGAGGCAGGGGGTGGGGTAGTGTCGAATTCACAAATTATGAATCATTGATAAGTATAAAATAAAACAACTAGATAGCGGCATATGCTACGTCGCAGGTCAGCGCGTAAAATATATATTAAATGTAAAAATAAAGCTGAGAAGAAATTAACACAGGAAACCATAACTAACAGCCAGCATATTCATGTATAATCTAAATGTTTTGCTGAGTAGCTTGCAAGACTGTAACTTTCAATTTTTCTATTTTCTTGTGGGCCATAAAAAAAGGTTAGTAAGGGCCAGGGGCCTAGCTAGACTCATACTGCCCTATACATTTACTATAAAATATTATTAAATAGGCTAATATAAAAAATACTAATATTAGGCCTATTTATATTCGTTTTAATTTTATTAAGCTCAACTCATGTTATACTTATACTTTATAGATCTAGACCCTAGATCTACAATTGAATAGGAAATAATTTAATTTGAAATTCAGTGAAACATGCTAATAAATATAAAATAAAATGAAGAATGATCGATGAGTCAACCACTGACTATCCAGATAGATAGAATCATAAGAATGACTCACTTCTCAGTCAGTCAGTTGAGTCAGTTCAGTTAACAAAACAAACGTCTGAAATTGTCAATTGTTACGAATACAGTTAAAATTCAAATACAGATTGTTCGTTTATACATAAAAGGATACAGCATTAAAAGCCGAACTTCTTTTTCTTTCTGTTTCATTTTCTTCAAAATTGTGAGAAGTCCCATTTGATAACAATTGAGATACGGCGTCTGGGTAGTCAAGAAAAAAAAATAGTACAAATCTAGGAGTAGTTTCCCTGAACGGAAACGTGATTCAAAAACATATTCGCACAGTTAGGGGCCTATATATTTTTTGTACCATTTTTATATCATAAAATTTTTAAGTGTGCTATCATCTTTTATTATATTTATTAGGACCTATAGTCTTTATAAGCAACCTCGTAATGTAAAATTAAAGCCATTTTTCCTCAATATTTGTGGGTGTTAATTTATTTAAGAAAATAATAAGAATATGAAGAATATGAAAGCTATAAAAGATCGAAATAAAAATATAATTGCTTCCGGGTCACTTTTATTATTATCTATGTTCTCCTGTGTAATATTGTTTTAGACTACGGTGTGTTTTTAATCTCAAAATCTTTTGCAGTTTCATGGCGAAGTCTTTTTAAAAACCAAAAAGCAATGTTTGCTTGTCTTCGTTTGCTTCTGCCAAAGTAACGTTTAGGAAGCTATGGCTCAAGACACAAAATGGAGCGTCCATGACAACATTTGGAACTTTTCTGTTACAGAACCACAACTTCACAGAAAAGGGTACACAATTTACAAAGTAACTTGTCAGGTAGGCATAATTTATTATAGACTAGAATAATAAAAATATAATTAGGCCCTATCTAATATAAATAATCATAGTTCCATTAGGGGTTGGCGTGGTCGAGTCGGTAAAGCTCATGGTTGCTAAACCGAAAAAGTCTCGAGTTCGAACCCTCGGGCAGATGAGGCTCGTTAAGCTGGGGTCAGCCACTCTTCTAGGAGAGACAACTCCAAAATTAAACAACTGCTGCCTTGTAGTTTGTTCTTGGTTGGACAAAGGCTATGGATGCAAATCCAAAAAAAAAAGCAGGCTGAAATCGGAGTCAATGGCCTCAATGGCGCATAACCAGTTGACATGTAACGCTTTATTGTGTTGGAGGCGTGGTCGAGTCGGCAAAAAAGTTTATGGTTGATAAATTCGAACAAAGTCTCGAATTCAAACCCACTGGCAGATAAATCTCGATCCGCTTCAACACTAATAATTAAGAACGAAGAAGATATTTCCATTAATTATTGTATTTTTTTAGCTTTTTCACTAAACATTTTAATTTTATACATCATTTCCTATTGTATGTTTAGTATTTTACTATTTACTAGATCTAGTACTAGTATTTTTACTTTTTAGGCCTACTCTGTAACTATTTTTATTTTAACAATTAACATATTTCTGAAATATTTCATTGCAAAGGGTTAAGCTACTAAGACAACTATATTAAATATATTAAATAAATTAAAAGCTTGTAATAAATAGCCCCAGTAAATTCACATGTCTTATAAATGAAGCGAGGTCACAAGGTTGGTAGTTTAAAATAAGACAGTCAGTATCTATACTATATACTATATAATTTACTATATATATATATATATATATATATATATATATATATATATATATATATATATATATATATATATATATATATATATATAATATATAATATATAATTCTCTTCATTGGGACCATGTGAGACACCAAGACGTAAGCTCAACAACTAAATCACTACCACCCCCACCAGTCTGGTGAGCTGTTTACAATCATAGTGACGGCTATCAGGGGCAGATAATTTAGTTGTTAACTAAACGATTTGAAACTAAGGGGAGATAATATGTTCTGCTTGCTCTTTTCATTGTCGCCTGTAAACTGTCATCACAGACGGATGCTTTCACTAAGACGGAGGGGGGGGGGAAGGAGTGGAAAGTGAGGGTGATGATACTCGTCCTTCACTGGCTTCTGATAGTGTTTTAAGGCAAAATATTTTCAGTTACAGCATTGGTAGTGTCAAATTCACAAATTATAAATTACTGAAAAATAGGAATTAAACTAAATAGCGGCCTATGCTCATGCTGCGTTTTGGGTCAGCTCGTTTCAATTATACCATTTAATGTTTTTTTTTACATTTCTTTAAAGCTGCACATAAGAATTAGAATTACGCTGATGCAAACATTTATATAAAAATAGATATTATATTTTTTCTATCTTAATTTCACAGACATTCCCTATCAGGTCTCCTGAGGCTTTAACAGAGGTAAAATGTTTGTTTTTAGTTGAATATTATTTATGATTAAAAGAAAAAGTTTGTGTAGGATTTTTAATATTCTTAATTAGCTGCAATATATTGTTGTGTTCTAAGTCTAGTATTTAACATATACAAATAATTGACTCTTTATTTGATACAATGATTGCACACATTTTTTAAATTCAAATTTGTGGGTTTTTTTTTGTTTTTTTTTGGGAATTTTATTTTGATTATACTGAATTTTGATATTCTTAATATCTAGGTTCAATACATTTATAGTATCTTAATATTGATTAAAATAGCTTATTTGCTGGAAAAGATACAATGACTTCAAGACACTCCACAAAGCTCTCTTAGCTCTCCACAAGGCACTGCATAGAAAAGACCAATTCCCAGAATTTGCAAAGCCAAAGTTGTTTGGTATGGTATTATTTACTTAAAAACACAAATGTTAACATCTTGATTAGTGTGGTAAGGGGGGAGGGGAAAAAAAAAAAAAAAAAAAAAAAAATATATATATATATATATATATATATATATATATATATATGTAACGAGTCCCCGAGTCTATCCTGCCGACAACGGCAAATGTAACGAGTCTCTGGCTACCCTGCCGACAACGCCAAATGTGACCTTCCCGAGTCTAACCACTCATTCCACACAACATTGACCACAGCATAGATACTCGAAGATGCAGGTTCATTATTGATCCTTTTATTACATGAGTCAAAGAATGCTTCACAATAATATAATGAATCAAGAGAGATGTTTCACAATAATAGTCTGAATCAACGGACCCCCAACAGTCCTCACTAGGCTTCATCTAACTGAATACACATGTCTAACGTCCTTCTTAACACAATACGGCTAACCCGTTCAATAACCAACTGCCACACTGACTGACTGATCGAGAGCGAGCGAGAGAGAGAGACTGACTGCTCAGCCGTCGCCTTCCTTATTTATCCCCTTCATATCCGTAATCATATTCGGTCCTATCATACTCGTAATCGTAATCGTTGCATTACGCCGCTTCTGTTGTACAGTCCGATTTAATAAGCCATCTGCATCCTGTCACATCAAAGTTGACAGACCGTCTTTCGTATCGCTTCCCGAGATACTACGCCCTGGCTTTCTGATCGTTATCAGCCACCACCTGTGTTATTACATCAGTCGTGTCAAAGTTGACAGCGCTGTACCGCGTTCTTATGTCTGGTAACTTCCCCTAGTTACATCCACCCCTGCCTTTTTTTGTGTGTTATCAACCACAAACAACGCTTGGCAGGTGCAGTCCTTCAAAGTCAATCGCACCACCGTAAAAAAAATCCATTGTTCCACTCACTGTCAATGTCGTCACATTCGTATAAGATTGACCGTTATCCCTATTTCACATATCAAATGTGTCTACATCATCTTCCTCAGACACAAAACAGTTCTAGAATTCACATCCACCTTTTTTCGTTTGGTGCCTTCACCAGTTCACTTTTATGACTTTTTGAACAGTCTGTTCTCATACCAGCGCGACCATGAAAGAATTGATGGTTGCTGACAAAAAATTTCGTATTCTTTCTGTTTCTCAAACTTCTCCGCGGACCACTTATCTGATGGTCTACTGTCTCTCTGCTTTTGGAGGGACCGGGATCCTCCTTGTTGCCGGTATCCTCCCCTTGTGTATCGCTGTTGCGCTGTTGATGGTGACATGGTTCCGGGATGGGTATGTGAATTTCCGTTATAGTTTCCGGTTCCCTAATTGTCTTGGGTTTCCTTGTGTGTAACTGCTCTTCTTGACTATGACAATATTTCTTTAATTGAGCAATATTCGCCCACCGATCCGGTTTGGTGTGATCGATGGGTCTTATCTTAAAGGGGCCACCTGCTACTTTAGGCATCTCCACGACTTGCCATATCTCCTGTCCCCAGAGGTCGTGGATTTTGTTTCTGCCTAACGGGTGGCTACGCAGTAATACCCTGTCGTTCAGTTTGAGTGGCGGGTCCTTTGTCTGTACCGGCGGTTCCCTTCGCCGTGCTTCATGTTCTAGTCTTTCCTGTACTACCCTGTACATTTCTCTAATTCGTCTCATATGTTCATTCACATATTCCAGTGCAGTGTATGAGCCAGTCATACTCTCCTTTTTTCCTAGGAACAAGTCAAGGGGCAATCGAGCCTCCCGTCCGAACAGCAACATGTATGGCGAAAAGCCGGTTGTGGCATGGGGTGTGCAGTTGTATAGATATACCAACTCTGGGAGAAAATCAGGCCAACGTTTTTTTTGTTTAGGTTCTAGGGTACGCAGCAAATCATGCATGCTGCGGTTGAACCGCTCGCACTGTCCGTTTCCTTTCGGATTAAATGTGGTTGTTCTAGATTTGTTGATCCCGTAGTGGCTGCACAGTTGGTTAATTACTTCTGACTCGAAGGCCCTTCCTTGGTCAGAGTGTAATTGTCTTGGTATGCCATATTTGATGAACCAATGTTCTATTAAGACCTTTGCCACTGTTTTGGCAGTCTGATCTCGTGTGGGCACCGCCACAGTCCATTTGGTGAATACATCAGTCATTACCAACACATGTTCCGTCCCATCCGATGATTGCTCCAACGACGTAAAGTCCATAGCCACAATCTCTAGTGGTTTTGTCGCTAATAGGTGTCCCGATGGCTGTCTCATTTTGACAACTGGCATTTTCGCATGCTGACACCTCACACAAGCCTCACAATGGCGTTTGACCTCCATTTCCATATTGGGCCAGTAACACCTCCGTCGTAATATTTTGTGCGTCCTGTCCTGACCCTGGTGTCCTGCCCTGTCATGTGCCAACCTTAGCACTTCTTCTCGTAATTGTCCAGGCACCACCACCTGGTGTATTGTCCCATCAATTTGGTCATGAATTCTCCGCATGAGAACACCATCCTGTATACTGAGACGGTCCCACTGACTCAGTATTTTCTTTGTTTCTCGACCAAATTGTTCTCTTTCCCTTCTTCCTGGGAATTTTTGTTCCTGGACGTGTTTCAACAGCGGCTGTAAGCCACTATCCGTTCTCTGGGCATTTCTTATCTCTTTGTGATTAAGGCAACTAAAATCACCAATGTCCCTATGTCCGGGCTCTGTGGAAATGTGCTCCACCCCGGTCTGTCCGTTCTGCCTCACTTGCACCCCGTGAGGGATATCTGTTGACGCTCTGACCTCACATATTCCTGTCAGCGTTTCTTCCTCATCGCCCGGTCTCTCGTAAGGATTCCTTGATAAGGCGTCCGCATTGCCATTGGACCGCCCCGGGCGATATTTTATCTCTAGGTCAAAGAGTGCCAATTCTGCTGCCCATCGCTGTTCGATGGATCCCAACTTTGCTGTCTTTAGGTGACTCAGGGGGTTATTGTCAGTGTATACCACACATTTAGCACCTAATAAATAGTCCCTGAATTTTTCCGTCACAGCCCATTTTAATGTCAAAAGTTCTAGTTTCATGGCGCTGTAATTTGTCATGTTCTTCTCTGATTCCTTCAGAGCTCGACTGGCATAAGCAATAACCCTGAAGCCTTGCTTTTGTTGTTGTGATAGCACAGCTCCCAGACCTTTAGAGCTGGCGTCAATTTCTAGCCGAAATGGTTTGTCAAAGTCTGCGTATCCTAATATCGGCGCCTCTGTCAAAGCCTTTTTCAATAGCTTAAACGAGTTCAGGCATTCATCAGTCCATAATTCACCTATCCGTTGTGTTTTACCTTTCTTTTTCTCCTTACTGTGTTTCTTTGTCATTTTGTTTACCAAGTCATGCAATGGTGCGGCAATTTTTGCAAAACCAGGCACAAATTTTCTATAATAGGAAGCAAAGCCCAAGAATGATCTGACCTCTACTGTAGTTGTTGGCTGTTTCCATTCTTTAACAGCTGCAATTTTATCTGGGTCAGTGGCGATGCCATCCGACGAAATCACGTAACCCAAAAAATGTACCGATTTCAGACCGAAGCAGCATTTGTCTGGGTTCAGCTTTACTCCTATCTCCCTAAGACGGAGAAACACTTGTTCTAATCTTTCTAGATGGTCCTCCCAAGTTTTTGAATAAACTAGTATATCATCCAAGTACACCAACATTATTTGAAATAGAAAGTCACTCATAGCACTCTGCATTACTCGCTGGAATGTAGCAGGTGCATTAGTTAGACCAAACGGCATACGGGTCCACTCGTACAGTCCCAGTGGAGAAATAAATGCAGTTTTATGTTGATCGTTGGGGTGCATGGCCACTTGGTGGTAGCCACTAGCCAAATCCAAGGTAGAAAAAAATCTTGCTCCCCCCAACGCATCAAGACATTCATCAATACGAGGCAAGGGGAATGCATCCCTTCTTGTGATATTGTTCAATTTCCGGTAATCACAACACAGTCTTATCTCCCCTGACTTCTTTTTTACCACTACTATCGGTGCCGCATACGGGCTAGTGCTGGTTGTAATAATTCCCTTTTTTAGTAGATCGTTCAGGTGTGCTTTCACCGCAGAGTAGTGACTTGGTGGTAATCTTCGATAAGGTTGCGCCACCGGCTTGTCTTGTAGTAAGGGTATCTGGTGTTTTATTACTTCCGTGTAACCCAAATCACCCTCGTACGAGGCAAATATATCCCTGTACTTATTCAACAATTCATTTAGTTTTGGGTCCTCAGTTTCCGGGAATGTATATGATCGGCCATCCTCTTTCTTCACCTCGGCCGTCACATTGACCGACCTAACTGTTACTTCATTACTGCTGGTATTGCTCAGTTCGATGCACTGTGCCGACCTTTGTACCTCGACGTTCTGTGGTACTCCTACCAGAGTATTAGGCGGTATAAAAATTTCCTCATCCAAAACATTTGCCACTAATCCTTGAACTAGTCCATTTTCCGCTGATGTGTATGTCCGCAGTAACACGACGCCTGCCCTCAGTGCGGCGCCACATGGTTCTATCATCACATCACCATTCACGCTTCTATCACCAATTTGTAATGTGATTGCCTTGACCGTGTTTGCCGGGACTGATATCCTTCCTCTGGTCTTGGCAAACCTGGCCAACTTGGATCCCCGACCTGGTGTGGTCGATCCGACAATATTTGTAAGAAATTCTGGCAACTGGCCAAGAATATTCATGCCCAACAGGCAAGGTATATTTGACACATTTGTCTCTAGGTTGTGTTTCGTAACGAACACCCCAACCTGCTTCAACCTATGTCCCGCCACCACGACATCCGCCAGAAAATAACCACAGTATGGAATGGTTAGTCCATTAGCTGCCGTCAGGCGCATGCATGTGTCAGACCTCAACCTATGGTCTTTTCCTTTCATCCATTTGGTGTAAAAATTTTCCGTGATTGTCGTCACCTGGGAGCCTGTATCCACAATTGCCTTCACCGCGATGTCCCCAATCGTAATCACCATTTCGGGACAGACTCCCATCATTTTGCTTCTTGGGCCATAACCTCGCCCCTCTGTAGCCTGGCCCTGCCTTACAGAGGACGACCGTTTCCCTGGCAGTACCGTGCCATATGTCCGGGTTGTGAACAGGACAAGCAAATTGGTCGACCGTCAGCCGTCCACCGGAGCGATGGACCGGCGGGTCGCGGCCGTCCAACCTGTCTCTGTTTTGTCCCGTACTTTTCCTGATTCTCAGCTGTTGACCTGCTTTCTAACCTCTCCAATCTTTGGTTAACCTTATCCAGGTGGGCCAACAGTTGAGCCATCATGGTTTCCACCGTGCCGGTCCCCGTGGGTGGGGATTGTTTCTGTTCCGGCACAGAGACTTTGTCCACCGAACAGTTCGATTGGTCCTCATCCTCGGACCTGCGGATCGCTGAGTTCCTGACCTGAAGGAAGGTCAACTGCGGGTCTTTGTGGACCTCCTCTTTCAACTCTCTCCTTAAGATCGGGGTTGCTAGCCCCTCGATGAACTGGTCCCTCAGTAGGCGTACATCAATGTCAGGTGTTTTGCCCTTTACCGAATCAAAGGCCCTGTTTATTCGGTGTGAATACTCCATCACACTCTCCGCCATTCTCTGCTTTAAGCCTACGAACCCCATTAGCAGTTGCGATCCCGACCGTCTCTCCCCAAAGGTCTCCATAATTAGATCCAACACCTTATCTGGATCTGATTGGACGGTTTTATCGTGGCATTTGACCTCTGCCCTAACCGTCTCTCCTATACTGCCCATCAGCAGTCTTAATCTTTCCTCTGGTGACATGTTTCTCGAGGCCCAGGCCGCTTTGACCTCTTCACTGAACCTGTTGGTTAAAGTTGGATCACCGTCCCCGTAAAATTTGTTAATGTGGGACTCTCTGGGCAGGACCACAATATGGGTCTGCTTCTCGTCCAGAGTAGACATTTTATTCCTTTAGTAAAAAAAAAGAGTTCTTTCTTACCGTGTGTGTATGAAAAAATTTTTCCTCGTTCCTCAATTTTCACTGTTCCTGAATGTCCGAATTCACACACACACTAAACACAGTTATGAACTAGGTTGACTATGGGTGCCTAAAGCGGCAAGTCTCGTTGAATTCATCCTGATCGCAGCGCCAAATGTAACGAGTCCCCGAGTCTATCCTGCCGACAACGCCAAATGTAACGAGTCTCTGGCTACCCTGCCGACAACGCCAAATGTGACCTTCCCGAGTCTAACCACTCATTCCACACAACATTGACCACAGCATAGATACTCGAAGATGCAGGTTCATTATTGATCCTTTTATTACATGAGTCAAAGAATGCTTCACAATAATATAATGAATCAAGAGAGATGTTTCACAATAATAGTCTGAATCAACGGACCCCCAACAGTCCTCACTAGGCTTCATCTAACTGAATACACATGTCTAACGTCCTTCTTAACACAATACGGCTAACCCGTTCAATAACCAACTGCCACACTGACTGACTGATCGAGAGCGAGCGAGAGAGAGAGACTGACTGCTCAGCCGTCGCCTTCCTTATTTATCCCCTTCATATCCGTAATCATATTCGGTCCTATCATACTCGTAATCGTAATCGTTGCATTACGCCGCTTCTGTTGTACAGTCCGATTTAATAAGCCATCTGCATCCTGTCACATCAAAGTTGACAGACCGTCTTTCGTATCGCTTCCCGAGATACTACGCCCTGGCTTTCTGATCGTTATCAGCCACCACCTGTGTTATTACATCAGTCGTGTCAAAGTTGACAGCGCTGTACCGCGTTCTTATGTCTGGTAACTTCCCCTAGTTACATATATATATATATATATATATATATATATATATATATATATATATATATATATATATATATATATATATTTATTTATTTATTTATTTATTTATTTATTTATTTATTACCACAGTTAAACAGTGACCAGGTGTGAGAAATTTATATAAAACATGCTCTTTGCGATATTTACATTTAGTTTTGTCTTTCTTACAGCAGTATTGTGTCTAGACTATTTCTGTAACCAATACAAAACTAAATTATACTGCACTGACAGGATTAACCTACCTAAATCTTGTTTAATCTCTGCTTAAGGGCATCACCTACAAATAATTAATCTCTGATTTAACTTTATTTTTACATCAGAATATTTAGTTGTAAATTTTGAATTACAATATTGTTGTTTCTCCTTTTTAAAGTTATAGTGCTGTTACATTTTTATATCTTGACAGTTTAATGATGTTTGTTGCCTGTGTTTTCTTGTATTGAGTTAGTTTGTGACTGGTTACCTTTGTGTTCAGGTCGCTTTGATGATACAGTGATTGAGGAGAGAAGGCTTAGTGCAGTCCAGCTTTTAAATTTTGTTGCCACCCAGCCACATCTATACAAGTCTTTAGTTTTTAAACAGTTTCTGGAAGTAAGTTTTAGATAGTGCAGTATGCTTGGACTTGTACTTTTGTATAATAATGTCAAATTATAAAAATCTTTTGTTTAAATTTTAATTGCTTTTTTATATATGATCAGACTCTTGTGTTTTAATTAATGAACTAAATTTGTAATCTGATACTCCGACCAAATTATTTTTACAAAAAGTTGTTGCTATGGTATAATAAAGATGTATAGTATTCTATTTACATTTCAGCCTTTTATTTGATACAATATTTAAATAAAAGTCAAGATAGTTTTTTTCAAGCAGCTGAATCAAATTTTTCAGGATGGGAAGTCAAGATCAGAATCCATTAAAAAAGCTGTGGTCATGACGCCCCACCCTTCCAGCTTAAACATCCTACACAGCCAGCCAAAGAAAGATGCAAGTTCCAGCCTTCACTGTGTTGCAGACAGCTCCACTGTAGAAAACAAGATGTACTTAGAGGGTCCACAACCACTGGCACATTCCAACCATACTGCTGAAGCAGGGTGCAACGGCTCTACCAGCAATATATCTAAGTAAATTGCGTTTCCAAATACAACAAAAAATCTGGATGTTTTTCTTTCTTTTACTTCTATTTAACAATAAATCAGCCAATATTTAATAAGCATGTCACATTTACGTACTGTATTAATACACTGAGATAATGATCAAATAAAAAGTGTATAATGTGGTGTGTATAGATGTTGTGCTCAATACCATTTTTACAGAGCACCTCATTAGATAAATTATTATAGTTGTTAAATGTTTTGTGGTGTTTACATCAGTTTAATGAATGGCCTACACAGACTGATAGTTTATTATTTTCTGCGTTTCATTAGGTCAGCCATGTTGGAAGGGACCTGGCAATTTCCTCAAGTGGCAGACAACATCAGCCTTGACTCGTCCACTGGGGATGAAACCATAGACACAGACGACGACTCAGTGCTGACCGGCTCATTGCCTGATGCTGACCTGGCCTTTTTTGAACACAGCGGCCATGAGGTCGCGTTGACCAGCCCTGATGACCTCAGCAGCAGTGTTAATAATAGTAACAGCTGGCTGCTGGCAGGACTTAACATGTGCGCTGACTTAGAGTCGGATGAAGTAGAAGGTATCAAGCAAGATTTACTGACAAATATTTTTTAAAATTTAACCCTATTATGAATGCATTATTTACATTACCTATACCATAAACTAATAAAACATGCAATAATTGTAGTTTTAAAAAAACCCATTAAATAGTATAGCAATTTGTATTTGAATTAAGGCTGCATATAGATTCTAGCTTCACCTTTAGTATTTTTCCAGTATTTTATAGATATAAAATCTATTATGTCACTTGATTTTGTTTATGTAAATTGATATTTTAAATTAATGCTTTTATTTTATATCACTTTTGAAGCAGAATTTTTGCATTCTGTTTTGTCCCATGTTCCATTTATAACTTTGACTGACCACAGGTAATGTTGACAACGCAGCCGTGACACCAGTCGACCCAGAACACAGCAGGTCAGACACCATGATGAGCACAGAGTCCACCATCACCAACTTCTCTGCCCTGTCCTCCACCTCAACACTGGCCAAACTCTCTGACCAAGAGTCCTGCGGTGCGGGCAGTAGGAAGGACAGTTTGAGTAGCTCAGGGTTTGTGACCAGCCAAGAGTTTGGTGAGTTTGATCCCATCAGGAAAATGTCCCAGTCTTCTGATTCAGCCAAGGTTGAGTGTGGCAAAGGGGATTTGGACTTGTCGGCAGAATGGCAGGTCAGGTCTTCCAGCTTCTCATCTCACACTTCAGTGGGAACACAGAGGTAATTTTTTTTTATCATTGAATGACTTGTATTTTTAATTAACTGTGGGTTAGACAGAGTAATACTTGTATGTAACTGTGGGTTAGGCTAATATTTTTAATTTAAGTGTTGATTAGGATAATACTTTTAATTCAACTGTGGGTTAGACTAATAATTTTATTTAACTGTTGGTTGACCAAAAATTTAACTGGATTAGGCTAATACTTTTAATTAATTGTGGGTTAGACTGATACTTTTAACTATGGATTAGGCTAATACTTCTAATTAACTGTGTGTTAAATTAATACTTTTAATTAACTGTGAGTTAGACTAAAACTTTTAATTTAACTTTGAAATTGACTAATACTTTTTATATAACTGGGTTATTTTTATTCTTTTCATTTGCAAGTCCTTTATAAGGAAAAAAAATGGACTATTTTCTCTAAGCATGCACATCATACTGGCTTTAAAGAAAAAACTTAACATTCTTTACTATACATACACACAATACAATTAAAAAAAAAACTTGTGATCACCCTAGGAGCACAACAGTTGATGAAAGACAACCAGACTTGAAATCTCTGGACATGGACCGGCCAAACTCCGGCATCTCATCCAGGTCACAGAGTGTCAGCTCAGAGAAGTCCCAGGACTCAGAGAAAGCTTCCAGTAACAAATCAACGCCCAGTCGCACCTCCAGAAGTCTCCTGAAGAGGTTTGTGTCTGGCAGCCCCAGTCACAAGAAACCCAGGTCAGCCACGGAGCAGAGTGTGTCAACCATGGACCTCGGAGGTTGGTTCGGTTTTTTTTTTTAAGAAAAATTTTTTATACAAAAATTCTATAACAAATACTTCTAAAACATGAACTTCTGAGGTTTGTTCTGTTTAATTAGATTAGTTTTATTAATACAAGATACAAATATTTGATAAAAATTACTCTGAAACCATGGACCTAAGAATTTTGTTTCATTAATTGAAAAACTATTATTTACAAAGCCTGGATAAATCAATGACAGCCTTAGTGAGATGTTTACAATGTTGGCTTGACACTTTTTATACAGGCAAGGAGGACTATATCTATTTAGCAGCAAGTCAGATCTCCATGGCCCAGAACAGTGAAGCTAATGGTGATTTTGAAGTGGCGTTTGCTTATTACAAAAGTGGGGTTGGGATCCTACTTCAAGGAGTCCAAGGTAAATCATTGGTTTTTGTTTTAGTTAGCACAATTTATTAATAATTGGAATTTATCAGAGTCCAATTTATGTTTTCCTTCACTTAAATGTAATAAATGTTAATTTTGTTATGGGTAAAATGTTTTCTGTTTGTGATGTTTGAAGGTGACACGAACAAGTCAAGGAGGGATGCAGTGAGAAGGAAAACAGCCCAGTATTTGATGAAGGCTGAGGATCTCTTCAACAGGCACTTGGCCACTGAGAATGTGGATGAGAGGAGATGGGGGGTAGGTTGATGTTTTTTTTTAAGTCATACAGAAAAAAGGTTTCACAGTGGTTTTTACTTTGTTGTTGGAGGTTTGTTAACATTTAGTTCTTTAAAAAATTGGACATTCTATATTTTAGGAAAAATTGAAAACTCACAAGTATGAAACATTATATTGCTAATTTTAGAATTTTTTAAAACATAAATTACTTTGGTGAAAATTATTTAAGTAAATTATGCTTCTTAGTAAAGAAATGTTATCCTGAGATATTTTTAAGGTTTCTACTTTTAAAAAAAAAATATTTTTTTTAAAATCCCCTAAAATATCTGCATTTAAAAATTATTATTTAAAAATAACTAAAAATCACAAATTCAATATCCATAATCAAATTTTTAGCTCAAGCTGGAAATAGTTTAAAGTACCAGGTGACTTCTTTTATTGTGGAGAATGCCAGCTTGGGTTCCTGATTAAGGGCAGGTTAAACCCCCAAATTGAAATTTAGGTGTTAGGACTTTTTTGAGTGATAAAGAAGTTGTAACTAGCATAGTATATGAAAAAAATGCAAAAAAAAATCACTAAAAAGTTATGGTTTTGAGAAAATATTTTCTAAAAAGTGTCATTTTTAGGGTAAAATAGCTCAAAATTAGCTCTCATTGAAATCAAAATAACACAGCTTCTGTTTGTCAAAATAACACAAATCTTTAATATAGTGTAATATACGCCATTACAAAAAACATGAACTAAAACAATTAGAAAATTAAAAAAATGGATTTTAGCCAAATTTTTTAAAAGGTAGACCTAAAATTTTTCCAAAAAGTAGGGAGTAGACTTAGCTTTTTTTTTATAAAATGAGAAGTTTCAAAGATATAAAAATTCTTTTAGCTCAACTTTACAAGCAGTGTTTACTAAACATGTGTGCGAAATTTCAGCTAAATATCTCAAGTAGTTTTTGAGTTATAGTGATTTAACTGGTACAATTTTGTTGAAAAGTAACATTTTGAGAAAAACGCTAAATAGTGAAAAATATACTAAATTTAAAAAAAACGAGAAAAAGCAAAAACTATACCAAATAAGTCATTTTTAAAACCTCCCAGTTATATAAATTGCATCTGGAGCCTCTTACTCAGCAATAAGAACATCTATTTTAGTTAGTTTTTAATTTTTTAGTTTTTAATTTTTATGTTGCTAAATGTTGCTTAATATAGGTGAATTACGTCATTAGTCTCATTAATTAAAAAATTATAAAAAATACTAGCAATACAAAATTTTGCAAAATGATTATACAAAAATGTTCAGAATTGAATGTAGTTTCAGAAACAATAGATTTTCAAAAATCAACATTTCTGACTTAAATATGTATTTTGGGGGGGTTTAACCTGCCCTTAAAGAATTAGTTGGGTGTGTGATTAAAGAATTAGTTGGGTGTGTGATTAACTAATTAGTTGGGTGTGTGATTAAAGAATTAGTTGGGTGTGTGATTAACGAATAATTTCCGAACCCCTATTGTTTTAGGCTGACAGTTTCTTGTCACCATCCCTGGACCTTGACCCATCATTTGCCTTCATTAGAGGACCAGCCAAAGAACTGCGCAGCTACCAGGTGTTAGGTACAATTGACAAAGTTATTTTAGTCAGGGACAAGGCAACTGACGAAACATTTATTTTCAAAGTAAGAAAAATCTTGTTGTTTTTTTTTAAATTTCTTATTAGTATTATTTTTTTGTTGTAAATGAAATACTGTCTTTCTGTTTCTGTACTGCTATACTAAATTAACAATAAATAAGTATTATCCCAAAATTCACTTTTAAGTTGAATTTACAATTAAGTTATTAAACCCGTTTAATACCAATTTATGTTCCATTTTTTTTTAATCACCTGCCTGAAATTTATTATTTATTTGTATAATTAGGATTATAGCTTTTTCTTTTTAAAAATGACCTTGTAAAAACTGAACCTAGAGAGTATTATCAGTGTAATTTTTTTTCATAAAAGTAATTTCAAACATTTTTCAGTCCATTCCAAAATCAATCCCTGATGGTGCCAGAACACAGAGCATACTGCCCACCAGCTGCCCCCACATGGTCAGCCTGCACAAGTTCTACGAGACAGATGACTCAGTCTTCCTGCTCCTACAGTATGCCAGTGGGGGCAAACTGTGGACGTACATTGGGGATTATTTAAACAGTGACCAGGGGAATGCTGGGATAGAGCTGGACGTCGTGAGAGCTAAGACTGACAAGATGAATATCTATTCTGGGACCAAGGTTGAGAACAACAGCAATGCTGACAGCCAACTGACCAGTGGTCAACAGAATGGAGACTTGGGAGATCTCAGTAAAAATGGTGAAGTAGGCAGCAATGTTTTAGACAGGAACGAACAGTACAAGCATTCATTTAAAGGCCATGAAGCTGGAACTGTCAGATACTCATCACTGATCATTGAAGATACAGATATGCAAACTGTTCATAGTTCTGGCTCAGCTAATGTTGAGGTGGGGAACATTGACACCAACATTGAAGATGGTGATGAGATTCATGACGCAGAGCTGACAGATTTGCTCAATTATTCTTTAAGAAAGCAACCTCTAAACCGGAGGTTCTCCAGCCTGTCAGACGACTGCGCTCAGGTGAATGAAAACGACAGCAGCGTCATATCCCCGACTATCCTACCCGAAGAGGACCCCTTCCAGACAATCCTCCAGGAGCACCGCTCCAACCTTGAGGCGTTCTCCATCAACAGCTTTGACAGTGAAGATACCCAAAGATTAAGTTTGTCTTTCCGTGAAAAAATTGACAGCATCCCTGAAGACACAGATACCTCGAGCAGCCCTGCTAAACTTATGACCACCAGGCAGATCAGTGCGGACGAGGTTTTTACCTCGGCCAGGAGAGAGGCTAGACATTCTGACATGAAAGTGCGTCACGCCAGTACGGATGGTGCGTTTTTTCACGCCATAGACATGCCTGACAACTGCGCTGATATTGTGTTGAACTCCAAAAAGTTAATTGAGCAGGTGGAGATTGTGCTGAAAGAGACAGAAAACAGAGCTGGGGAAGAAGGTTTTGTAGGGGACCCTGAGAACAGTGCGGAGAAAAACTGCGACAGGGTGTCCAACATTTCTAACGACTCAGCTGAGGAACCCAGCATTTACGACAACAACAAGTCATCAGGGGATGAGTCAAGTGAATTCATCGCAAACGGCACGAGTCAGGTGACGTTGGACAGTCCAACCGTTAACTCGTCCGTTAGCTCCGGGCTTGCCTTGACTGATGACAAAAGTGTATTCAAGGCTGATGAAATTTCTGACGCTGACAAAATGTCCAGCTCGGGGTCTACCAACACGAAATCTTCCACCGTGTCCAGCGTGAAGAGCTCTATTTTCAGGCAGACCAGCACACCTCACAAGCTGAGCATCAGCCGGATGAACTCTAAAGACATGATACGGTCGGCCTCGTTTGAGTGTGATCTCAAGTCCCCCACACGCAACAGGGCCAGGACAGTGACCGACTTGTTTGAGAGACTGGACAGTGCTAACTGTGAGAAGGTTCAGATCCCAGAGACAAGCATCAGAAAATGGATGGCGCAGTTGGTCACTGCTGTCTCTAGGCTTCACTCCCTTGGAATAATCTGCAGGTAGGTGCATTGCTTTTTCTAAGGTAGTCACTACCTAGGCTTCACTCCCTTGGAATAATCTGCAGGTAGGTGCATTGGTTTTTCTAAGGTAGTCACTACCTAGGCTTCACTCCCTTGGAATAATCTGCAGGTAGGTGCATTGGTTTTTCTAAGGTAGTCACTGTCTAGGCCTCACTCTCTTGGCATTAGTTGTAGATAGGCCAATTTCTCTCCTAAAGTGGTCACTTCTGTATACAGATTTTATTTTTAAAATTTCTGTTAATAATTTTTAAGTTAATGCTTTGTTTTGTGAGTTTTGTATTGTTTCTAAAAAATAAGTTAAAAACGTTTTTTTTGTATTATACAAACAATACTAAACTTAAAATTTGACTAAATGATTAAAGTTAACTAAAAAAGTTATGACACTTTATCAAGTATTATTTGTCATGCTATAATGTTTTTCTTCCCCAGGGATTTAAAACCCAGCAATGTCCTACTAGGTGATGGCGGACAGGTGTACCTGACCTACTTTTGCTATCTAGGTCATGATGATTTTAACCTGGACTGGGAAGCTGTCCAAAACCTGTATGCTGCACCAGGTCTCTAGTTTGTTTTTTCATTGGTCAATCTAATTGTTGTATCACCAGATGGTGACTCGAATTGTTGTATCACCAGATGGTGACTCGAATTGTTGTATCACCAGATGGTGACTCGAATTGTTGTATCACCAGATGGTGACTCGAATTGTTGTATCACCAGATGGTGACTCTAGTAGTTGTATCACCAGATGGTGACTCAAATTGTTGTATCACCAAATTGTTGTATCACCAAATTGTTGTATCACCAGATGGTGACTCTAGTAGTTGTATCACCAGATGGTGACTCTAGTAGTTGTAGGTGTACCTGACCTACTTTTGCTATTTAGGTCATGATGATTTTAACCTGGACTGGGAAGCTGTCCAAAACCTGTATGCTGCACCAGGTCTCTTGTTTGTTTTTTCATTGGTCAATCTAATTGTTGTATCACCAGATGCTGACTCGAATTGTTGTATCACCAGATGGTGACTCGAATTGTTGTATCACCAGATGGTGACTCGAATTGTTGTATCACCAGATGGTGACTCGAATTGTTGTATCACCAGATGGTGACTCTAGTAGTTGTATCACCAGATGGTGACTCAAATTGTTGTATCACCAAATTGTTGTATCACCAAATTGTTGTATCACCAGATGGTGACTCTAGTAGTTGTATCACCAGATGGTGACTCTAGTAGTTGTATCACCAGATGGTGACTCGATTTGTTGTATCACCAGATGGTGACTCTAATTGTTGTATCACCAAATGGTGACTCGAATTATTGTATGACCAAATTGTTGTATCACCAGGAAGTGACTACATTAAGAGTACCACCTTATAATTTTCCTTTTTCCTATTTATTTAAAATAAGTGCAGAATATAAATTAAGAAGGCTGCATAATTTAGGATTTAGAAATTAAAGCATAATACATAATTAAAATGTCTAATGTTATTGAACGATCCAAATGTTTACAGAAGTCGGCTCCATCCATGGATATGATAAGTCATGTGACTGGTGGAGCATTGGTGCTCTACTGTATGAGTTGATTGTTGGGAAGGTAGGTGGACTTTTTAAATTATAGTCTTTAATAATATTTATGATATTATTTAAATTGTTTTAAAAAATATAAATTGGTCTAAACCAGAGGTCTCTAAACTTTTCAGCCCGAGGGCCGCATTAACTATTAAATTTCAGTTGGAGGGCCGCATTAACTATCAAATTTCAGTCCGAGGGCCGCATTAACTATCAAATTTCAGTTGGAGGGCCGCATTAACTATCAAATTTCAGTTCGGGGGGCTAGTTTCTTCCAGGCATGTCTTTGATTTTTCTGGGCAAAGTTCCTCAGCCATCACCAACAAACAACTTTTCCTTGGACAAAAAGATCTCCGCGGGCCGGATGAGAGGCCGGATGCGGCCCGCGGGCTGTAGTTTGGAGACCCCTGGTCTAAACTAAAAAGAAAAAAGAAGTATTTCCTCAAAGTAAATATTTGGCTGTAGGTTTAAAAACATTGTTGAGTAAACTGAAAAAAATATTTTTATCAATTCAAAACGTAAATAAAAATTGTTAATATTTTTTACCCAGACTCTAGCAGAATGTCATCCAGGTGGAATCAACTCTCACACCTGTCTTTATGTGCCAACATTTGTGTCATCTGAGGCGAGGGGCCTTTTAGAGGGGGTATGTGTTGTCCTTTACAGTCTAACTAACCATATTGAGGGGGTAAGTGTTGTCCTTTACAGTCTAACTAACCATATTGAGGGGGTAAGTGTTGTCCTTTACAGTCTAACTAACCATATTGAGGGGGTAAGTGTTGTCCTTTACAGTCTAACTAACCATATTGAGGGGGTAAGTGTTGTCCTTTACAGTCTAACTAACCATATTGAGGGGGTAAGTGTTGTCCTTTACAGTCTAACTAACCATATTGAGGGGGTAAGTGTTGTCCTTTACAGTCTAACTAACCATATTGAGGGGGTAAGTGTTGTCCTTTACAGTCTAACTAACCATATTAACGGGAGACAGTTAAAATATATATAGTTTTCCCGTATTTCAAGCCTGTCATATCAGTGAAATGATCTGGTACAATAAATTACAAACTTCAGCTTCTCAAGCACAACCCTCACGAGAGATTGGGCTCAGGCATTGCTGGCTCTGAAGAGATTAAAGCTCACCCCTTTTTTGCTGGAGTTGATTGGCACAGCTTGGAGTATTCATAGCACTGCACTCGTTCGCCTGTTGTACCTCACCCCCAACCTTGACCATGTGTTCAATTAGTTATTGATCAAAACTTGTTAATTTGCGATTTATTTTACTTTCACTTTGGGTGCATGTTATCAGTCCTACATCATGAGCAATTGTTTTAAATGAGATTCGGTTATAAATTACTTGGTTTACCAACAAGCATTGTTAGATGTTTCAACCTTGCAGGATGTAAATTTTTTTCATATTTATTGGTATAATTTTTTAACAAAATTAACTTAAAATTTAATTTTAATTTAAAAAATGTATATCTGAAAGTTAAAAGTAATTGTCTCAGCTAAATTCAAAGCTTGCAATTGGAGTTAAATTTATCAGTTCCATGGAAAAAAGTGACTTGGCTGCACCATTAGTTTAAACTGCAGGTAAATGCCAATAAGTGATAGGTCTTGTAATTACCTGAATAGTGGGTAACAGGGTAACACCTGTCTACAGTGGCAGGCAGGTAAATGCCAATAAGTGATAGGTCTTGTAATTACCTGAATAGTGGGTAACACCTGTCTACAGTGGCAGATAATTGCCTGTAGCCAGGTCTTGTAATTTACCTTAACAGTGGGTAACACCTGTATACAGTGGCAGGCAGGTAATTACCTGTAAGTGATGGGGCTTGTAATTACCTGAATAGTTTAATCTTGACCTGAATAGTTTAATCTTGACCTGAATAATTTAATCTTGTAATTAGCTGAACAGTAGGTAACATCTGTATACAGTGGCAGGTTACCACTTCATCAAAAAACAAGTCTTTCAAACAAAGCTTGACAACACATTTTTTTAATGCACTGTCTTTCTGATCACATGACCGATGTTTTGTTATTTTTAACTTTGATTTGTTTTTTAAAAAAATTGTCTGTTGTTAAGTGAATTAAATATTGCGTATATTTGTGTGTTAAACAGTGTGATAAATTTCACTTAATTTATAAGTCAGTCTGGTGTCTATGACAAATATTTTAACACTGTTTGTGATATATTTTTATGAGTACACACGTTTTTAAAATTGGTATGATATGTATTTAAGTGTAAACACATTTTTAAATTGGTATAAGACATTTTTTTGTATAAACATTTTTTTAATACTTTTTGATTGGTAATTGAAAATTTCCATGTCAACTTTTTAAATTCTTGTGTTTGATTCATTAATTAAGCCAAGTGTTTATAATTTTTAAAAATCTTATTTTTTTAAATATACTTAATATGTATTTAAATCACCAGTTATGATGGTCGATTTGTTTTAGTTTGTAATGAGTGTATGTGGACACAACATGACAACTGTAAATAAAACATGACCTCACTTTTTGTCAAATTAAAATAATCTAGTGTAATAATTCAGAATTTCAAGAGACCAGTTGGAGTCATTGAAGTTTAAACTTGGTAAATTTGGCCTTTGAGCCATCTTGTCGCAGGATAATCCCACCTTAACACACCTATTTAACTATTGTCATCAAAGTTTTGTTTTTATAAAGAGTTTGAATAATTTAGTTTCATACCATTTCCAAAAAAAAATTACGATCCAGTTAATTATTAGCCAGTCATATCATGGTTGTGTGAATATTTTTTAATGGATTTCTTTGTTCTGTAAATGTAAATTTTAAACAAAGAAACTTAGCATTTTTTGCTGCTGAATACTCTTATATGAATTGAAAATCAGTTACTAATGCATATATTTAAGTACAAATTTTAAATGCTTTTAACTGGATTTTAGTTGTAGGAACAGTTTGTGAATTGTAGTATTTTCTTATGCTGGTTTGTATGTGCTATGATTTTACTTGTAAATCCTTTGATTCAAATCTAGTCTCCTTGTTGGCAGTGAAGATATTGTTGTCTTAAATTTTTTAAGAACATATTTTGTATAAACTACTTAACTGGAAGTTATTGTAAACAAAAATAAAACAAACACAATATTTGTAATGGTAAATGCTGTATCCCATAGTCATGGTGACCACAATTTTTATTTTGCTTTGCCAAACGGAAAAGTTCCCACCTGATCAGGATGTTACTTGAGTTTCCTCTTACTCTCCTTACCTTACAAAGTTCTCCCATATCAATAGGGCTTGTAAGTCACTGTCTCTTTCGATTAAAATTCGAAATCTTGTTAGCCAGGGAAAAATCTACATTTTTGGACTTAAATAATTGCTATTTGTTTTAAGCCTCGCTTCAACATTTAATAATACCAAAAGTATCCAAAATGCAAAAATTATACATTTTTGTACTAATAATAAAAACAAGTAACGGTATGCCTACCGCTAGCACAGGCTGTCCGGTGACCTACTTACCAGCCCTATTCATGTCTCTTTTTGACCAGCTTTCATTACTTGAGTTAGCCTGTGATCCCATACATGGACATAGGCCACAGACAAGATTTTCTCTGGGATATCCTGGGTCCAGTCTTGAACTAACCTTCCTTTTGACAGTAACCATAGCAATGAACCACTGTTGTCAGGACCCCATGGTTCTGTTTGGCCATCATTTGTTTTTTCATGTAAACATTCTTTCACTTTGAAGTCAAATTAAATTAATGTTTGGCCAAAAAGTCCCCTAAGAACAGGATCAGGTGCAGTGCAGAATGTAAAATTGTAGACGTTTCTCTATCAATGTTAATCTTAAGTAAATAATGAAGTATTAAATTCTGAGATTACTTTATTAAAATATCTCAATAGCAAGTTTTCTGATACTGTGGTTTCCTACCAGGGCACTTTCATAAAGAACTTAAGAAAATGTGGATTACCACACTATAGGGGAGATAACAGGTTGATTCCACCTCATTTACTAGCATCATATGAGATAAAGTATTAACATTATTACCTGTCTAGATTTTCAGTAGTACTTAGATTTACAAAAGAGGTGGGAATACAGCAGTTATCAACAAATATTAAATGCATGTATCACATGGAAATATGGAGTTAACAGTCAATTTATAAGTATTAAATATTTTGTTGTTGATGTACTTGGTTATTATGTAAATTGAATTAAATTGATCCGTACTTAAAAGAATTGAGGAAAAAATGTTTTTTTTTTCTTTTGTTATTGATTGTTTTCTGTTGATACAAACAGCACTCAATCCATATTTCTTTTGCCACACTAAAGGAAAATAACTTAGGTTGATTCCTCATCATTCACAAGCATCATATGAGATAAAGTATTAAATCAATATTTCTTTTAAAGTAAGCTAAACTTTGGGTGCATGCTTCAAATAATACACAAAGTATGTTTTCATCGCTTAACCACGTTTGAAAGGCTAAGCTACAAAAACTTAGTGTTTATTCTTAACAAGCCTGGTCAAATTTCTCCCCCCCCCCCCCCCCCCACACACACACACAAACAGGGATGGTCACTATCATGTACAGGCGGCCATTCATTCCCTTAAACAGGATTGTACCGTACCCATAAAAAAAGAAAAGAGGCAAACATTTTTCACAACTTTATTACAACGAGCATACAGAAATACAAAGTACTTGAAGATTCTTTGTAATAGAAGAGTAAAAAAAAATTTCTAAAATAGTTGATCAATCAAAGAAATTGTGTAGTAATAATGAAAAAAAAAATGACCTTAAAAAAATTCAAAAAGACACTAACATAGGCACTCGTATTTGATAACAAGGTTGTATATAGATACTTGAGTTGACTGCCAGTTTTCTTAATCATTTGTTCAGTATAGACAGTAGCTGCAATATCTGGGTGCTTTAATTAACATAAATGTAAACAAAATATATCCTGTGTTTACTGACATCATCAACATTGATTCTCATCTAAAAAGATTTACATCAATTCTTCAAATGTGTGACCAAAATTGCTGATTGTCACGTATGTGCATCTGAAAAATAACTCAGTTTCTGCATGGTTTTCTTAAGCTACTATAACTGCAACATTTTCTCTTAAGCTACGGAATGTAAATTCACAGATACAATTTAATCGGATGTCAAAACTGCAAAAATTATAACTGTCAACAAGTGACCACGTCTATTTTTAAAAAAATATTTTTCGCTTTCACTGAAAATGTAACAGCTGATACAACACTATTATTTTAAAAAAAAATTTCCTTTAAAAAAAAAACAGGAGGTGAAAGAAGATGAATCACGATGTAGATTTTATTGTGATTTCAGCCACATAGTGACATAGTATATATTTAATATTAGCAATATTCAAAATACTTTAGTGCTTACAACGTATAAATAAAAACCAATGCTGAACTTTTTTTTCCAAACTTGTTTGGAATTTGTTTGAAAAAAGTAAACAGAAGCTGTGAAAACAAGTCAACCTGAATGCAAATGTTTATTGTAAGGAAATACCTTGACATAAAGTAGTAGAGGAAAACAATGACAGCACAAAGAAAAAAAATCTTTACAAGTACAATATATTCCACTTATTCCATTTGAACATTAAATTCAATTTGAAATATTCAAAGCACAGTTACTTTTACATATCCAACAAGGAAATTTCTAAGTCTTAAAAATATTTTAACAAGCTCAATAGACAATATTTCAAACTTAAAAATCTAAAGTTAAAAATCCACAAGTTTACTTCAAAATTATACAGTTCATGTTTCATATACTGAAACATTGCTAAGAATTTATCTTAATAAAACTTTTAATCACATACCATTTTTTACTTTTCATATAACTAGAATGAAAACCAGAAACCCTCTTCAAAAACTATTCAAGCAAAAGAAAATTATTTTCAAAATACCTGCTAATCCCAACAGTACTCAAACTTTCCCGGTTAATTAAAAAAATATTTTAATTTCACCTGAAAAATACCCCTGCTATGTTCTTTGACTTTTATGATAATGTAACAAGAGTTATGAGTATTGAGGTGACTTGCATAAAACTTAAGAAATGCCCCAAACCCTTTTTTCTACCACCAAAGTGGGGATAGTAAAAGCAATAGTGAAAATTATAGTAAAAGCATGGCAACTTTTCCTACACATTAACACAAATATTGGACAGAAGCTATTTTCAAAAGTACACTCAAAAAGTATCTACATGTTGCATAAGTAGTACCCTACCAGTGCTACAAAGGCTAGAATAAAAAGGGTAGTACTAATGATAAACAGAAATTTATTTATAATTTACATTACTACTCATGTTTAGAAAAAAAAATGTCATCTCAATAAGACAAATGGTCATTCTAATCACTTATACAACATTACATCTATTTAAATAATGAACATTTGTTTGTACAAAGACACCACAGCAGTCATATGTTCATGTCCACTCAAATCAGTAAGAAAAAAAGGGAGGAAATGCATTTTTTGGCCTATGTACAGTTAAGTTTTGCCACAATGTTATTAATGTCACTTGAAAACAAATATGATGACATTGCATTAACTATTAGTGTATCATTTTATGAGAACAATATGGCATGTGCAAGTCATTCAGCAAATATGAATAAACATGGTAGTGAACCTGGATATGGGTTGAGAGTTTTTATATAAACACTCTGCTTGGTACCATCATGTTTTATTTTGCTTATTTATACTGGTTAAAAATACATTTTTAAAAAAAAGTTTTTCTTCTCTCTGAAGCAAACAATTTTTATAATTTTTTTTTATTTAAAAAAAAAAAATTAGAAAAACTAAATAATATTGCTTTAAAATAGTTTTAAAAGTTATAATAATTAGAAAGTGAATACGTTTCCAAGTAATTTTTATTGTAATTTTAAACTTTAAAATAAAGAGGTACACAATGTCATGAAATCTGTTGAAAATTGTTTATTAAGTTTGGGTAATATTAAACTTTAAAATAAATTCCAACAAAAAATTTTAACATTTATTATACAATATTTATAAATAAAATATTAAATGAAGATATTTCAAAAATATAATTTAATTTTTGAGCTGCAATGTATGATTTTCATTAAATGAAATCCGGAAAAAAATATTGAATACCTAAATGAAATAAAAAATGTTTAAGCATTGTTGTTGATATACGCAGTAATAAATGTGAAACAGACAATAACAATGTTCTGCTTTATCCCTTACTTAATAAGACATCTGCAAAAATGTACACTCATTTTCTTGAAATTGTTTTGTTTTTCGATTTTTCTAATTAATTCATCTTTTATATATTAAAATTTGATAAATAAAATTGAGCATGTATTAATACAGCAAACTAACATAATTCAATATTTTTAAAAAAATGTAAAAAAAAAAAAATAATAAACCAAGTGGGAAAATCTTAACAGCACATGACTCCACAGTCTGTAACACACATTCACCTGGAGAGGACAGGTGTACCACACATTCACCTGAAACTGATGGGAACCCACAGGTTAACTCCCTAGCTCCACAACAATAAAATTGTTTTCCTGTCCACTTTCATCACATTTGGTTGGCTGTGAAAAATGTTGGCACAGTTATAATTGTCAAGTTGAAACACAATGGAAACATGTTTAATTAAAATTAAGTTAAAAAATGTTATTAAGTTAATGAAATTAAAAAATATATACATTTTAAAAATTGTGAAGTAATGCAAAAATAATTATAAACGAGAAAAATGGCCCATTGAGGGAGGATACAACGGGCGCTAGGTTGATAGTGCTGTCTATTTTCTCGGTACTTTAATTTATTCAAAATATAGTCATAGGCATATCCCTAAAACATGCACCTAATCTCAGTGACAAAAGTCGCATTAAGAGTTTCTTTCAGGCAACTCTACTTGGGAGGAGGGGGCTTTGCCCCCCCCCCCCCCCCCACCACACACACACTCCAAAACATGTCTACCGTCCCATTCAACGAAATATAATTATATACTTTTTTCAGTGTCCGCCCCCTCCCAGAAAATTCTACCCCCGCCCCCGAAAATTTCAAGTACCCCCACCCCTCTCCGGGGAGGAAAAAGTCTGAAAGAAACACTGGTCGCAATTGTAGATCATACAAACTAAAGGAGGAATCTGGGCGGGGCTTCGCCCCTACTGGAAGAGATGCTTGAAAAACAAATGCACGCTAAACACTTTTTAGATTAGAAAAAGTTCCCCCCTCCGGGGAGGAAAAAGTCTGAAAGAAACACTGGTGTCGCGCTTAGCAACTACCCGAAGAATTGCATTAAAGAAATTGCAAGAAAACCACTTTTTAGATTAGACACATTAATTAGGCGGTAATTTTATTATAGAGTATCGATGAAGAAATTTCTTTTGAGTTGGGGGGGGGGGGGGGGGGCGGCTCAGACGTTCTTATGCGGGGGTGGGGCTTCGCCCCTACCCGAAGAATTGTATGAAAGAAACTCTTCACGCAAACCACTTAGATTAGACAAAATTGCCTTTTTATTCAATGTTTACTCGAGAATCAATGACGTCATATTACTGTGTGCACTCTCCGGCTTGATATTATTTTCTACTATATGACGTCATACATCGTTTTCGTATCACTGTGAGAGTTTTTAAATTTCTTGTGTTTTCTCTAGAGCGTTCTTGTCAGATACATACATACACAGATAGATACACAGACAGCGAAACTATTAGTATTAATAGAAAAATGTTCAATTACAAACACAAAAGCATCAAACATTTCATGAAAAATGTAGGCTTTACTGAATTCATGTTAGGGAGTTTTTATAAACCAGATTCAGGAATAAGCTGATGTTTATTTTCTCACTACAGATATATTTAGGATGAACAGCCCACACTTAAGCAATCATTCTACAGCTAAAATGTAATGATGAGCATATTTTTTATTTCAGATGGTATTTTAAATTTGAAAAAAAAACAAAAAAAAAAACCCTTATATTTTAAAAACCAGAATGTCTCTACTACATTGCTACCAGTGTCAAATTATTGGCCTGCTGTATCTGGCTACACTCCCTGTTTTTGATACAAGTTCCTCTATTTATTCCTTTGCTTTGCGGGGGGGGGGGGGGGGGGGGGGGGGGGGGGGGGCTAAGTTTTTAATCATTTATTTAGATCATGATATAGCTAGAGCAGACATTTTAAGCTGTGTTTACTCCAAATAGTTAGTTAAGTATTTTTTAGTTTTTTAATTAAAAATAAAGGCAAACAGCATAAATAATTTACCAAAAAATAAGTAATGTTTATTATTTTCTTACTTGTATAAAATCATCAACATTTTATCTTCAATAAATAAATTATTACTTAGGATTGTTATTGTGTAAATCATTGAATTATAATTATATTAATTATAATTATTTTATATGCATAATGTGTTGGTTTTTAAATAAACATAAAAAAATATATAGACTTTATAGACATAGTGTGAGAAAATTAAGGCTTAAAGGCTTCAAAGTCTTAATTTAAACTAAAACAAACTACCTACCATTTTTTTGCTGATTTTCCATTCTTCATCAACTAAAAATTTGTACATGTATTCTCCGACTGGCAACTCCACCGATTTTGAGAAAATATCACCACTGTAAAAAGTTTAAGTAAGTTCATTTTATAAAAGTTCAAACCAAAAGAAACTAAATGAATATTTTTTATTAACAAACTAACACAAAATGTTTGATAAAAACTTGGTTGAATGTGTATGGTAATGGTCTTGTGTATATATATGTTTGTATACATACTGATAAAGCTAATAAGTACTGCATACCCCTTTTAGTCTCATATCTTTGTGTTGAGAAATAAAAAATTTTTAAAGTTGTTATATATGTTTTGCGTGAGGTAATATGACTGGTTCATCTCAATGTACAATAGAAAATCTTACTTCTTTGTGAGAGGGATGTTCTCTTGCCAGTTATTGAAGGTACCACTGACAAAAACAGTCTCTCCTGCATCCTCCCACTTAAACTCTGTTGTCACTGTAGACTCTAGTGGGGATTCCTGGTGAAAACAATGGACAGACAGGTTATAATAAACTGTAAACTAGTGTGGACTCCTATTGAAAACAATTGGCAGAGAAAATGTAATGCAAAACATTTAAATTTCTAAGCATGATAACAACTTTAAATTGTTCAAAGTAAGAATGCTCATACCATTCAGAAAATAATGTTATCATTGTCATAAACGTAAATAGTAAATAAACATAGCATTAATTCTCTATGGGTAGTTATTTTTTTTATAGCAATTCTGATGATTATGTAAAGAGAGAATCTTAATTTTGATATGAGACAAAATTATTTAAAAATAGCTTTTTTTATTTTATTGCTTTTTTAAAGAAATAAAAATAGACAATGGACATAAAAAACATGAATCTCAAAAAGAAAGAAAACAAAACAGAGGTAACAGGAAAATTAACCACATAATAATAGATTAATAAAGTAGACTACTCTATTTAAGTAAGTAAATTAGCTATTAATTATCTCTCCAAAGCTAACAGCAATTAACAACAGATGGCATCTATTCCGTAATAGTAATGCTAAATTACAGTCCACATGTGTGCCTATTACCAGAAAAGACCTTTAAAAAAGTTTACCAAAGTACAAATAAGTGTTGATACAGTAACAGGTTAGCCACACTCACAAACTCATAAAGAGGGTTTGACTGATAATTACAAGTTAATCTTTAGCGTTTGGTTTGTGGGTATAGCACATCAATTGGGAAAAAATAAATATTCACATATGTATCTAATAATTTCCTAAAAACTCTGATACCAATAAAAAGCTGTGCAGAATAGAATTTTACCAGTGCCATAGACATCCTGAGGACAATATTTGACTTACTGTTTTTTTAGAAGAAAGGAGAGGAAAGAAAGCTTTAGCTGTATTGACAGTTTTGGCCAGTTTGGATGTTTTTTTTAAATTAACAAACCCTGGAAGTTTACTTGACTTGGATTTCTGATGATCCTTTCAATTATTCAAATGCATTATAGACAAAACAAAAAATGTAAAATGAATAAAATCATGCAAATAAATAAAATCATGCAAATGAATAAAATCATGCAAATAAATACATTACACATAAAAAAAAATCTGCATAAAGCTAGTAGATTTTTTAAACACTTACTTCGCTAGGTGCAGCTGTTTCGCCCGTTTCTGTCCTGTCTTCTGCTCCACTTGCAGCTGCTCCAGATGCATCTGTATCAGAAGGTGCAGCTGGAGTGCTTTCCCCTTCTCCCTGAACAGCAAAAAAATACTTTTTTAAACTTGGTTTTAGCCCAAAATAACCAACAGCATGTGTAAAAACATATTATTTAACTTGTTTAAATGATTTTGACACTAATTTAACAAAATCTTTTTTTGTAAATGAATTAATGATTATTACATTTGACTGACTAATTGTGAAAATAATATCAATATGTAAAATAAATCAAAGATTATAGCAAATAAAAATAGAAATCAACAAATATTATAACTTAATAGTGGGCAAACAAAAATTATGCTCGGTGATACTTTTATGTGTTTTTAGTCAGAACACAAATTTAAAAACAAAATCACACCAAGAAATTTAAAACACCAACACAACAGCTAACAGAAGTAAGGGCAAAGAGAGCTCTACAGCAATATGGAATAGAAACTACACAATATTAAGTAACCATTGATGTGGACGGTCAGAAAGCTGGTGAAACCACAATTTTTAATGGCCTCGAACAACAAAGAAAGTTAAGCTGTTTACTACATTCATCTTACCATTTTAATGGAATTTAATGGGAGATCTGCAATTTTTTAAAATCAACTTACGACCATGATAAAGCTAAACCCACCAACATAACTCTAGTAACTGGTACTTTTTTTTTGCATGCTGTGTAGTTCTACTATTTGTCCAGAGAAGCAGTAAACAAAAAAGGAATTAAAAATGAAATTTAAAAATGTATGAACTTAAAAAAGAATGCATGCTGGTACAAACAGGTGACATAATGGGTTCAATCAAGCACCTGTTCAGTCTGAACTTCTGCTGCCTCAGACTCCACAGTGTGTTCAGGCTCTGAGGGTACTGGGGGAGGTGGGGGCAGCTCAGCTTGTGGACAAACTTCTGGCACTGTGGGCTCCTCCAGAGCTGCAGGCTCCTCTGGTGCTGCAGGTTCTTCAGGTGCAGCAGGCTGTTCTGGTGCTACTGGCTCTTTAGGCTGTTCTGGTGCAGGCTGTTCTGGTTCTGTCTGTTTTAAGGCTGCTTCAGTTTTGTTATCTTCAGTTGCAGAGGGCAGCAACTCCTCTGCCGGTGTTGCTGTCTCTACTTTCACCTCTTCCACCACTGGCTTAGCAGGCTCTTCTTGTGTGGCTGGTTCTGATGGCTTCTCCTCCTTCTTCTCTTCCTCTTTAGTCTCAGCCTTGGCAGGCTCCTCCTGTGAGGCAGGCTCTGCTGGGGGTGGGGACTCTGTCTGTGGGGAAGCAGCAGTTGGGGGAGCTATTGTTTCAGAGACTGGACTTTGTGTTTCTTCTTTTGGTGTTTCTGTTTTATTTTCACCTTCTTCGCTCTGCAAATAGTGACATTTTTGTGTGTGTGTTAAGTCACAGGTATTTTAAACAAGAAAAAAAATCTCAAGGCCAGGTCAGAAGCAGCAGAAAATAAACAGATGTACAACAAAAAACTTCAAAGTTTAGAATCTGAGATAACTAACAATGACATACATTTGCATGATAAATATTTTAATATTTTGTTGTATTAAACTAAAAGAAAATTTAAAGAACATTTAACTAGAATTTCATTTGACAAATGCATTTACTTCAATAAACAGAAAAAAAGGTATTAAATATGGTTCATTTGATTTTAAACAAAAAGATTTTTAAATTAATTGAAACTAGCAAGTTGTTTCATTATTAAATGACCTGGTGTGTTTGAGCAGAGAGGCTCAACCAGAGAAGGGAAAGTAACCAGTGTGAAAACAACAATAGCCCAGAGTTACCCAACCTGTTGCCAGGATGTGGTGTAGAAAGACAACAACTTCACTGACATGGAACTATTTCATAAGCTGTGCACATTTTTAAACATCCATTGAGCACTGTGCTGGACTAGTGTGTAGTTTTAGCCATCATCTGGTGTGTTTGGTCTACACACACACACCAACCCACTTACTTTACTTTTGGAGGTTGGCATAAAAATTCTGGCAGTGTTCAGAGTTTTTGCCAGTTTGCTTGTTTTTTTAAATTTATCAAGCACCTGCTTCGATGCATCAGCCTCGGTAGTGGAAACCTTGAAACAATTTGCCACAAGACATTAACTGCCAAAATTACATGACAAAACATATTTTTATTTCTATAGGACACGTACAGTTAGGTCAAAACTTGAATTATGGTAAATTTTTCTTTGGTTCTTGATCTTTGAACTTGAAGAATGTAAAATTATTATGTTTACATGGTTTAATTATTCTGCTTAATAGCCATCTCGAGAGAAAAAAGAAGGAATGATAGTAGGCTATTTATAGCAGTATAACAGATTTATGTATAAAGTCATATACTGCTTTCTAGGGTAAACACTTTTAAATGGAGGCAGAGTATTTCCCTCAGTGGAGTCTGAGGTCACTGTTAACAAAGTTAAGCTAGTAACTGAGGGTATGATAGAAGAGCTGAATGAAAACCACATTTTGAGGCCTGTACCCATGATTATTAGAGTATGTTTGGAAGCTATGTCCTCTTAAAAACCATGTTCATAATTAAAATATATAAGCTATTTCTTTAAGTTGAAATAAAGTGGAAAACAATTCCTTAATATACATTTGCTTATACTCAATACTTAAAACAAAAGACACATAAAATACCTCTTTCACTGTTGCGCCATTTTCTTCAGGCTTCTTCTCAGTTGTGTCCCCTTCTTTTTGCTCAGTGGTCTGCTCCTGTGTTTGTTCCTCTCCGTTCTCCCCCTCCTCACTCTTCATTTTCTTTATCTTTAGTTTACTGCTCTTGCCACCCATGGTACAATTGTGCTCAACACTTCTTGATCACTACAATGACTAGCTTTGTTATTCTATTCTAACCTGGAGATTTAAAAAAAATTAAAATAACAGTAACTAAACAATCATTCATTTGCTTGTTTTTTTTTTATATTATGGAAGAACATCAACACAGGTTGTACTGCTAAAACAATATTTGATGGCAATTATGAAATATTTTAATTATATTTGTGAAGTAGAAGTTAGCAACTGCGTGAAAATATGTGTGTTAAGTTTAGTATACATCTTAGCTATTTAGGTGTAGCCTTTTAAAATGTGATAGAACTAGTTGATGACTGAATGGTGAGAAATAATTTAGCCACGGTCAGTTTCTTCCCCCCCCCCCCCCCCCCCCCCCCACAAACAAAATGGAATTTACAAGAAAAGATATACTTTTTCCAGTGCCCCCCCCCCCCCTCGAAGAAACACTGGCCACTGTGGGGTTTTATTTTCTATATTGTGCGAAATTGTTTAAAAATAACTGTACTGATAAAGAAAAAATTTGTATAGGCTTTGTGAGGGTGGGGTAGTAAGACCCTCATCATCCTTAACCTCATGTATTAACTCATGTGCAGTTGCAGGTAGTTAACTGGACACAAGACATTGCTTTTTGTTGTAAAAGCAAATCTAAAAAACAATTGACATGCTTAGTAGTTTTTTTTAATTAGATTTTTTTATACAGCCATACAAGTCAGCAGAACAGGAATCTATCACTATTTATTTTAAAGCTAATTAGCTGTCTGGGTTTATGGTTAGACCATCACATTTGTTAATTAGCCTAAATTAGGATGATGAAAGATTTTTTTTTTAAACTTTATTTGAGGGGAGACAACTCACTGAAATTTCACAATTGTTAAGGTCACATAAGCATTCCTAATCCCCCCTGTTAACATTTTTGTAATGACCTCCCCTTAAACAAAATAAAGATTTCACAAACAAATTCAATTAACATTCCAGTGAAAATGTCAACTACTGGATAAGCTAACTAGTATTGTTCACACGGGTCACAGGTCACACGGGTCACAGGTCACTGGTTGACTCAATCTGATGTTGGGGGATAGGCCTGTTGAGTCAGTCAAATACAACAGACAGCAAATATGACATGACACTATTTCAAACAATCTCCAATGGGGGGGGGGGGGGGGTGGAATTTCACTGTGGTTAATACTGAATAGACGGCCTGTTTGTGTGTGTGGGGGGGGAGGGGGGGGAGTAAGCCTGGTGACAAACTATTTTTTAAAAAAAGTTTTGAAATAAACCACAATTTCACTTTAAGGACCGTTTGCATGTCTTGCTCAAGTCTACTGACATTGGTTAGACGTCGTCAAATTTAGGACCCATTGTGGTAAATTGACATAATGACATAAAATTAAAAATAAACGAAGTAATTTGACCGGCTTTAGAAAGGTCATTTGTTGGGGGACGGGGGGGGGGGGGGGGGGCGGGGGTGGAAGGAAGAATCGTAAACACGTAAAAATATGGAAAGTATTTAGACGGCATTCTCGACAAAACAAACAGAGGAAGTCAAAACGAGACCGCGTAAAAATTGTTGACACTGATAACCGAATACGTCAAAGAGGAAGCTAACAAACGGAAATTCCCATTAGCTTTTATTTGGGCTCTGAAACTAATGCGCATTCATTAATCAATCAAGAACATTTTATAATTAACTAAAGCAATGCTAGAACAAACACTTTGGAGAGAAAAAAAACTTGTTTCATTATAGTTTAATCTACATTAATGACACACGCACTTTACACAGCATTTCTAAAAAATAATATTAGGGTTATGTGTAAATTATCTTGTCTGGTATGCGCACAGAATGTAAAACTTGCTTCATAACACACTGTAGTTGGTAGACTTTAGAATTTGATTCCCCACACCAATGTGAATGTATCGGCCTTTGGTTGTGCTACTGATTTCAAGAGGAAATAATCCTATTCGCTGAAACCAAACTACTCGTCACCATGTTATCCTACATCTCACACACATACACACCAATAGCAAAGCAACACATTCACATACTAGTGGCACAGTTTAAAACACACACACTAATGGTAAAGCAACACGGACATACCCACATATAACAATGACAAATCACTGCACACCAGTGATTATGTAACACACACACATATGACAAAAACAGGTATACACACACGAATCAATGACAAAACAACACACACCAGTGACAAAGTAACATACACACAGAAAAACAGACATACACACATACCAATGACAAAACATTACACACATACCAATGACAAAACATTACACACATACCAATGACAAAACATTACACACATACCAATGACAAAGCAACACACACACTTAATGACAAACAAAACACACATACATATAACAATGACAAAGCAACACCCACACACACATATAAATTCACAAACAGCACAACAACACAATGATAAAACGAGCTCACTCCGACACGTACAAGCGTTCAAACCTCAGTCGTCGTGTCAACCGTCGAGCCCCAGTTGTGTGACTACTCGGCCACGACACACACTCTCATGCTGGGTGTTTACCGTATGCACGAGCCGTGTGCCTGGCGTCCACAGATCGAACCCTTAATAGAAAAAACGTGTATCTTGAAATACGGAGATATCCCAGCCAAATCAATACACGTGAAATGTCACAGGTTTTGTGTGTGTGTTATATCTTTTCAAATTGGTTTCGGGTCTTACGGTAAATGCTGCATCAGCGTTTCTCAAATATGTTGTTAATGGGTGTCTATAAAAATAATGGACTATTCACAAATATTGGCTATCAGTTGCATGTCTGCAGACAGTCATGAGACCTGCAGAATACCATAAAAATGTATTGTTTTGTGAGGAAGATAATGATTATATGTGGGGAAAGAGAAAGATAATAATTTGAGAGAAAGTTATAAGATAATAATTTGTGTGTAGGGAGCAGTACTAATGGCTTTGGTGAGCACTAAATTTTATGAATAAATTCCCTCGGATTCTGTAGTACACAAAAAATAAATAACACAGCTAATATTGTGAGAATATTGCGAAGAAGTAAGCTTATTGTAGCTTACACTGAATATAGAAAGAGCGGTTCTCCAACTTCTTCAGCATTTAACACACGATGACTTAACCAAGCTGTTATTTAAGCCTTTTGGATATCCCATGGCATTCGAATCTTGCAAATTATAAACCTTTTACTAATGTTATATGCAACTGGTAGCTAGATTTGATACTAGCATTCACAGCGCACAGTGTTGTGTTTCTATCAGGCATGGCTTTACGAGTTGTAGGGGAGGGACAGTGCCCGTTCATCCAACCCACGGACGAAATAGAAAAATAAAACTTATATTAAAAAATTACACTTTAACCAGTGTCCGCCCCCCGGAAGTTTTAAGCCCCCCTCCCATGGAGAAAAATATCTGAAAGAAACCCAGTACCTGCCCGATATAAGATTTGATCTACAGCCGCGTTGAGAGAAAACCTGGACGAATAGACCTGAATAGAACTTGAAACGCTTCAACTCAAACATGCGAAGTCTCAGGAAATGCGCTAATGGCTTGAACAGTTTGAATGGCTAGAAAATTGCTGACGTGCCTTAAGACGCTGCCGATGAAGAAAAGACTGAGTGAAAAAACATGAATCTACCAGACGCGGTTTTCTACATGTACTAGAACATTGAAAGCTGCCAGTTTGTCAGAAGATTTTGTTTGTAAGGCTGTTTTAAACATTTTCATACGTCCATTTTGTAAATTTATTTTTAATCTAAAGATTTTTAAAAAGTTTTTTTCAATAAGGACATTTTTCCCCCGTCCATTGTAAATATTTGTGTACACCCACTGAAAATGTATACACATTATCCGCGTACGTCACTGAGACTTTCATAACGTGTCAGCTTGTAATTTAGCCCACGGTTGAAGCGACATTAAAGAAAAAAAAATTATAACCGCTGAAAAAAAATCGAACCAGCCCGGTGGAAGATGAAAACCACGCCCAACTTGTTGCTCGTTGAAATCATCTCGTCTGCATCGAATTCCTCCTGGCTTATTAAAACTAACGGCCTTGGGGGAGCGGGAGCCACGATTTCTGGATGAGCACGAAGATAATTGTCGTGTAGGTATTGAGTGAGTACTGCGCCGTGCAGTTGCTGTGTGGGTTGGGGGGGGGGGGGTGGGGGGGAGGGGTACTACTCGATTGTTGGAGGTAAGTCACGTGGGGGAAATGTCACATAGGGGAGGGAGGAATCACAAGGGAGAAAGTCACACGTGAAAAGTCGTTAGGGAAAATTCAGAGGAAAAAAGTCACAAGGGAATAACATAGGAAAGGCCAGAGGGTGGATGGGGGGGGGGGGAGTCAGGGGGAGGAAAGTTACACGGAAAACAAGTGGCACAAGAGCTATAGTCCATGTTAAGTATTGTTTGTCATAATGTAGGCCTCTTTGTTGTGTTGTTAACAAACTCTATATTTAGCTGGAATAATAAGTCCAATTACAATACATAAAGAACCTTTTTTTCATTTCCTCAAAACTTATGTATTGAGATATATTTTTAGTACCTGAAAGAAAACATGTTTACTTTTAAAACCAAATTAGAACCATTGTTTTTTCAAGTCGCTCTTTTATTACAATACTTCTTACAGATAAAAAAAAAAGAGCTCTTATAGTTTATGAGTTAAATATTAGATTGTTTTTAAAATCCTATTTCATTTCTTGAAATGACCACCTTTTTGCCACAACCCTTGTTAAAAAAACAACACAACAGTAAGGTTTTGTTTTTAAATGTTGAACTTCAATCGCAGCTGAGTTATTTTTAGCATCTTCTATTTCTACCTTATAGTGTTCCCTTTATGGCGATTAGATTACAAAATACAAGCCGTTAATTTACTGCCAGGCTCTCCAGTCCCCTAGTTGGCCAAACATCTGGGCCGAGCACACATCACATACTCTTGTTATGGCGGCGTGAAGTATTGAGTTATCGTCCTTGAGCACAGGACCGGTCAACATTACTGATAGACTGCAGGACTTAAAAAAACCAAGACGGAGTGGGGAAAATGACTCGGGGGGGG